GATATCTTGTAACCGATATCCGATCCATCAAAAATTTCCGATTTCCAATACTAGTATTGCATCAGTGCATCCCTATATATTGCCACAGGTACAATCCCACCAAACCAAGTAATCATTAGGGAAAAAAAAACACACACACACACAAAAACCTGTCAAATGCACTAAAGTGTACCGTACAGCCCTAATGAAGAGACTTACCACTGTTCTCTGCTTGTTGGGGAGGTAGACTCGAATTGTACCCCCTCCGCGGGGCACATCCTCTGGGCTGGTTTCCCCCGAGGAGGAGTAGCAGGAGGAGGTGGAGGACATGGTGACAGCAGCACTTATCACACACCAGCCTCAACACAGATGAGGAAATTCAGAGAGGGCCCTTTACCTCGAAGCTGCCATGAGAAAAAAAATGAAAAGAGTGTTTTAAAGGTGAATTGAGTAACTTTTCTGGTGAGCCCATCGAATGCTTTACTTCATGAGGATGTTATTGTTTTGTCTGAAATGTTTCACAGTATGGTATTAAACCTTTCTATCTTCATGGAGACCAAACCAGACCAAGTTAAAGGGCAGATCAGGGGAGAGCCCGCTTACAGTCAGAATACCTGTTTTTCTATTTTTCTATAAAAACACTTGTAATTAAATAAATGTAAGGTAGGTCTGTTTAATGTCATACTGTGGAACATTCAAGGCAAAGCAATGACATCTCCATAGAAACAAGAAGATGACAGACCCCCAACCAAAAATTACACAGTGCACCTTTAATAAAATGTACACAAAATTTTAAATGTGTGTAGCAATAAAAATGACTAAATGAGCAAAGAATGTTGAAATATTCCCTAATCAAAACAGTTTAGTACAATAATAAAAAGGTACAGACAGTGTCATGATAATACAGTGTTTTTATAGTGTTATTATGATACTATCGTTTTAAACTACTACTGCTAAGGAATAGACTTGATATTAGGGATGTAACAACAATAGAAATGTTGTGATATCATAAAAGTCTCTCAGTAATATTGTGGGTCATCACAATATATCTCAAGTCTCTTTGCTTAAATTCATTGTTATGATGCAGCAACAGCTAAAAGAAACAGAGGGAACTACATAGACCTTTGCTCTTTTTCAGTCCAATTTACATGATGAAATAACTTAAGTACTTTTAAGTCTTAACTCTTTGGTTTGTGAAAGAACCAGAGGCTTGTCAAGACAATTTAAAGTAAAAAGTAGTATAGTCACAATTTTGTTAGCCTCTACAAAATATCATAATAAATATTGTACGGTGAGATGTGTATCGTGAAAATATTATACCAAGAAATTTAGATATTGTTACATACCTACTTGATTCTGATATACAATGATAATAAAACACTTTCTATTTAGACAATAAACTGTGATTTTCAACATTAAATAATAGTACTTTTATTTCATATTATCATGTCATGTCTATGTGCTCTTATACTTTTCTGATTATCATTCTAAAGCTATTCAGGAAAAGTTCAATTCCGTCCTGGGAATGTGACTTTTTAGTATCTATATTATCTAGTTTCTAATAATAGACTGATTTCCAATTGGCTACTTTTGACAACCCTACATTATAATCATACTTTGGAGATTATGTGTTGATAATAAATGTGTTATGCAAATAAAGGTGGACCAGAGTGGATACATTTGCAGATAGACCAGTCATTATTGAAAGAAAAGAGAAAACTTAAAACAAAGTGCCAGAATTAAAGGGCCCATGTTATGCTATTTTCAGATTTTCTATGTTATAATGTTTCTTCATCAAAAACACACCCAGAGTTGCGTTTTGTTTCACTCACACTTTTAACACACAAACTCTGCGCACTGTATTTAGGCTGAGTTCTTCTCTCAAACTGAAAACACTCTTTTCCACCTTGTGATGTCATGTGGAAATAAAGGAGGGGCTCCACTTTGTTTTTAAACTCCATAAACCTTCACACTAATCATTTGGATGTATTTCAGCCCTGGAATTGGTAATCTCTACTAAACAAAAGGCAAACGGTAGCTGTTAACTATCCCTTCATGACATCACAAGGTGTAACAAAGCATTTTGAGCTTTGGAGATGTAGACAGACTAATAATAACGGGTTACTCAAATATGTGTGAAAGAAACAAAACACAACTCCAGGTACAGTATGTTTTTAAGGAGATATCAACATTATACATGGCTGTGTGTCATTTTTTGTAATATTGTACCTTTATTAGGTTTGAACTAATTTGAAATGTTCTTCATGAGTTATAAATAGTATTGATATGGCTAATTTAATGTAAAAGTGCTATGCTATATTATGCATTCATGTTGATTTCTGTGTTATAAGATACGTGCTGACAACTGCAGGGAATTTTGTCACTGCACAATTTGTGTTTCTTCTTCTGCGCATGCGTGTTTTGGGCTGTCATTTGGGGTACAGCAACACACACAATATTGAACTGAAAGTGACTCACCAAAAACTGAAATGTAAACGTTTAACAAATTTCTTGGGAAGTCGTGTTAAGAAAGATGTTCCCAAACTAGATAACAGATTAGACGCAAATGTATTCCTTGCACGGAAATCGTACTAATAAAAGTATGACAATAATTCGTATGGGGACAGTTATTTTTCCTAATCAAATATTTTAAATTAAAGATTTTGACTTATTTTTTTAAGCACATTCAGCTCAAATAGCGTCACGTAAGCAAGCTCACATTTAGCCCACCATATCCTGCATGGGAAAGAACTACAACTTCTAAATAGACTAATAGTATAAGTCTATAGAAAGACGTCTATAGAAATACTTTAACATCGTTCCGAACCAAACCATGCATTACCCAAAGCACAATTACAACTTATAAACTTCAAAAATTGTCTGCAAGCTACAAGCAAGCTACTGAACACGTACTATTAGACTTTAGAGATCATGTTTAAATATATGACAGTCCTGACTAAGTTCGTTTGTAGAAGTTTACATTGCTTTAATGGACCTAAACGTATAGTATTCCTCATTTCTAGACCCATCCCTGGTAAATCAAACGTGTTGGAGTTGTTTATCTAAGAACAGCACGCCTGACAGAGATTATGTAGCCAACTCGGCGCTAGCTCGGTGCACTCTCCGAAGCCTCTCTCGAAACTCTAGGCATTTCGCACGGGGCGGGGCTTAAGTCGTCTCAACATGTCAATAAAAACTACTGCATCATAGCTGTAATAGTAATTTGGCATCGGCAGTAAAATAAGGGCTTGGTTTAGAAAATATTTTCTGCTTTATATGCACAATAAATGATCTATAATCAAGGCATTAATCTAAAACCTGTAATGCTCAGTCTTTACATGGAATTCAATGTAATACTACAGCACAAGAATCCATAGGGGGGTTATCAATAAACTCATATTTTCTAGATTTCTACTTTTTTTTTTTGTTAAAACATGTGTAAGGTTATCTCTAAATTCTTCAAAAAAAACGAATAGCCAAAGATGACATTTACCAGTTTAACCACTACACTAAATTATATTGCTAAAACCTGGCTAAAACTAATGTGAATGTTAAAAAATATATAGTAGCCCAGTATTCAGAGCATAGACTGTAAATATAAATTCTTTATGCAATCTATGATCCAGAGCGACGCTTGATCGCACCAACTCGGACGAAATGCCTGGAGTTTAACGAGTCCCGTTGGAGCTAGAGCTAACGCTAGCCAACTCGGGGTTTACCAGCGCTACTTTTGCTGCCTCCCTAAAATCTAGAACAGCGATCGGATTGCTTACATTTTCTTCATATTATAGCGCAATAACCGGTAAGACTCCATCTTTAAAACAACAAGTATAGGCGCGGCTAAACAGTATTTGAGCAGTTTTAAGAAACTCTTACCTGTGTCAGCCATCTTGAATACTCTCAATCTGAAGTCGAATCTGTCAAGAACTTCAGAGAAAGCGGAACACTATCAGAAACCCTGCGTCGTGATTGGCTGGGTCCCCAGGAGGCGCTCTGCGATTGGCCAAGACCAGAGTAATACTGGGAGGGTGGGAAACGCGAGAAAAAGGGCATGTACCTCAACGTTTACACTTTTTCATGATCACATTCATTATAGTGAGAACCATATTTTAGAATAGACTGTTTGAATAATTGAATAACTGGATTTAGTTGTCAATTTATTATAAACCAAGTATAACTGTTATAGTACCAGTATTACAACTTGTGAAATGCGCCTGCTACTACTACTACTCATTAGAAAACAAAAAAAATGACACAGTAAATGATATGACCTTTGTTTTTATTACAAATACCATTGAAATACACTACTGTTAAGTTGTATTATGGGTGACACATTAAATAACATTTATTCCACACTGAGAAATCTTTTTTTCTTTGAGGTGTGAGTGTATGCATGATGTCGCCACTCCACATCTGCCGTGCTTTCGTTTTCCAGGGTCCCCAGTTTGATCATGTACACTAAAGCATGCCAAAAATGGTTTCATTATTTTAGAAATGAACATGTCTTAAAATTTTATAAATAAATAGTCTCATACTTACATTTCATTTCAAACCTCGGCCCAACTTCTGTCAGCTCTACATTCTTGTGGTCTGTTTTCTTATACGTGTGATGCCTAGAATATTTTTTATATTGAAAGCATGTTTTAGTACAGGTAAGAGCACATTGTATTCAACTAACATGTAATTACATATGCCTAAATATAATAAGAAACTGTTGGCTTGTCAAAAGTTCTCACTCCCTTTCAAGCATTTTTATGTTGTTGTCATTATTGTACGTGTACAAATTGTACAGGAAATTTTTGTTGTCAGTATTGTAATGTCAAGTTGACTGCCATGACAGTAATGTGTGAAAAGGAACTGAACAACAAAGCCCAAAATAAATGATTGATTGATGCTGTCACTCCATCAGTGAAAAGTAATATTCAAAGTCACCATATTGCATAACTTATAAAATGAAAACTTTATCATGTTTTTTATATCTTGTATGTTCAGTACAATAAAAAGTGACATTCTTTCAAGTCAGACCTGAAGGAGATGTAGTCCTCCTGATTTGCAAATGTGATGACACGCCGGCTGTCCTCTTTGGGAACTGGAAACAGATACTTGAGGATATTCGAAACCTACGAGCAGAATTAAGGATTAGTGCCACAACAACACAACACGCAGCAGTGTAGGAGAATCACAGGGTTTCAGATGACATGACTACTCACACTGGCACACTGTTTAACTGAGATGGGGGCAGGCACAATGACCATTATTAATATGCAGATTTTGGTGTGATTGAGTCTATGGTGTAAGGTCCTTGTGGCTAATAGGGCGGTAACTAATGATTATTTTAGCAGTTGACTGGTCAAATGAAATTCTATTGTGTCTTTTGAGTTTTCATACAATTGTAAAAAGATTAGAGATCAAGGTTAAACATATCCTCAAAGAATATAATTAATATTGTTAATAGGAGGTCACTTAAGGATTGCTTTTTAAATGTCAGATGGCAGATTTGTTAACCTGATTTATGGTTAATATCTCTGTAATTACTGGGCTGGACCAGTCTACATAAAACAAAACAAAAACTGGCACAAAGTTGAGTGTCATCTCTGGCAGTGAAAATAAACAAAAAGGAAATACTTTTTGACAATGACTTTATAAAGTAGTGCCATTATTCAAACCAAGATGTGTTTGTTGTCAGTTGAAAGGACTTTAAGCCATAAAATTAATATGGCAAGTTTGAGGAGCCAATCCCTAATAAATAATAAAGGTTCAACATGTGGATTATAGGGCTCTAGTCCTTTAGTCGTTTAGTCAATTAATCGGCTGATGGAGCCTGAAGCCCGCCTCACACTACAGGATAATTTGCCTGATGAAAGGTGCTCATGTAACTTTTCTGGTGGAGGGTCTGTCAGATTCTTTTCTCCATGGAGATGTTATTGTTTTGTCTGGAATGTTTCACAGTATGGTATTAAACCTTTCTTTCATTATGGAGACCAAGCCAGAACAAGTTACAGGTCAAATCTATGGAGAGGCAACCCCACTCACAATCAGAGTGCCTGTTTCTCTAGGTACTTTTGAGCTATAAAACCATCTGTGACCATTCCAGACAGAGCAATGACATATTCATAGAATCAAGCAGGTGATGAACCCCCAACAAGTTACACAGTAAGCCTTTGAGGACACCATTTTCCTCTAACAACTTCTTATGTGATTTTTACACCGTTGAGCTCCTCGTGTGGTGTCATTGTGATTCTGGGATGCTTGGTCATCATAACAGTAAAACATCACCATGGCAACAGCCAATAAAACAGAGTGTCAGGGGGAAGCGGAGTAACGAATACAGAGATGCAAGATACAAACTCAGGAAATACCAAAAAATATTAGGTGACTTTACATATTCCTCACCTCTCATGAAGTTAAACTGCAGAATTCTCATTCATATTATCAATTAAAATGTGTCCTCTTTAAATACTGACCCCCAGTCCCCAAACAGCATTATTAATACAATTTGACAGTTTACAGTTTTACAGCCAAAATTTGTCAACTAATTTTATTTAGATCAGAATTTATAGTGGAAAACAGAACAATGGAGAGATTAGAGAGTGAGTTATCTGAGGATTTGGTCTTTTTTGGTAATAATATGTAAAAAAGCAGATTAAACTCAGGATTCTTTATCTGTCTTAATATAAATACCTATTTTAGTACTTCATTCTGCAAAAATAGTTGTTTTTGCACAAACTCCAATGCAGTTGTCAGATACATAGAGATATGTAATATTTTTGAAAGATTTTGTCATGCCCACTTTTTAGTTGACCAATCAATCGGCAGGACATGTCTTTTGTTGAACAAGAATTTTTCTAGTCAACTACAGCCCTAATGGTCTATATGACTGAATATATCTTTCAATAGCAGTAAATCTCCCAGTGACAAAGTGGGGCCTTTGTCTCATTTTAAATTCACATTAGTTTATGTTAAACATTTTTATTTTGAAAGGGGACTTGCTTTGCTTTGGGAGTTACCTAGATACTCACCTGGGGGGAGGTATTTCCTGCTGGGCGAGGTATAAAAGCAAAGCAGGTGTCATCAATTAAGGAGAGATTTCTGTGTAGGTGTTTGGCGTTTTTGCTTTGAGTTACTTATTTTTTGTCTATTTGTACTTTTGTTGGTAAACTCCAGAAGTCTGTTTTTAAAATAAATTTTGTCTGCGTAAAGACACCTTTTTTGTGTCATCTGCCTCCTATTTTGACCACTTTGGCCAGCTTCCCCACACTCCCTTAGTCCGTCTAATGCTTTTCTCCATGGAGAAGTTATTGCTTTGTCTGGAATGTTTCACAGTATGGTATTCAATCTTTCTATTGCCATGGAAACCAAACCAGACCAAGTTACAGGTCAGATCTGTGGAGAGGTGACCCTGCTCGCAGTCACAATGCCTGTATTTTTGAGCTATAAAACCACCCGTAATTGAATAAATAAGTAAAGGTAGAGCTGTTTAATGTCATACTGTGGAACATTTCAGGCAAAAGAGTGACAAATCCATAGTAACAAGCAGGTGATGGGCCCCCAACCAAGTTACATAATCCACCTTTAAAGTTATACAGGGCCTAGTCCACCATGTGACATTATGAAATGTGTTTAAATTTAGAATGTGAATTCAATCTATATAAAAACAAGCAAGTTGAATATGAATGGACTCAGTTAACATGATCTTGTCCCTTATGAGAGAGGGACGTCAGTGGTCCTCACCCTTTTGCCGAGCCGCGATGTGAAGTTGTGGAAGATGAGGTGTGGATAGGCCTCGGACATGGTGCCTATGTCGGGAACATCGTGTCTCATCACCACGTTGTACAGTGTGAAATACGCTGTGGGGCCGAACGGCAAGTGGCACACAACCAGCCCATCTGTGAGAGGCCGGACAAAAGTACCCCATTTTAGAACACAACTTATAATCAAACATTTCAAAGTAAGTTTTTTAAGTGGCAGTGATATGATTTTTTAGGAATATGTGGAGCTTTAAATAAAAAATGGATGTAGGTCAGATAAGAGTTCGTAAAGCCTATTTCTGAACCTGAGTAACATTACTTTTTCAAACTGAACATCAATGCAATGCAACATGCAAATCACAATAATTCTCAAATACATTTTAATAACAAGATTTGCTTTGTATTTAACTGCTACATATTCAAGATTTCAAGACACACATAAGTCTATACACACAGGAATTCTTGTGCAGCGCTCTGGGATGTTCAAGTAAAAACAGGTATAAAGTGCATTTGAGAAAAAAAAAAAAAAAAAAGAGTCACACATACAATCAATTAAAAAAAACACATTAAATGCATTTGAATATGGCCAATTTAAAAAGGCAGCAGTGAGGCAGACCCCTGTTAATAAAAAATACTGTATAGGGAACATAGTACTGTATATGGCACGTGATAATGAGGTAGTTAAAACATTCAGTAATAATTAGTACTTTATTTGTTCAAACTCTGTTGTGGAAAAATAGATCTAGATATAATTAATACTTTTCTTGTTATGCACTCTTGTTATACAGTCAGACAGCCAAAGTAAAGTAATCTGATGCACGTATTACTTAGCACGCCAAGGGGAAATCAAAACATTATACATGTAAAAAAAATACGGGTATATTGAATCAGTTACAGTATGAGCTGGTCACACACCAGACATTATGAGGAAAAAGCAGCTCACCTGGCTGTCCTCTGGTCTCATGTACGATCACTAGGTCTGTGACATTGTTGGCTTTGCAAGCTCTGACCAGAGAGGTGATCTCATGGTTTCCTCTGTTCATTCTCTGGGCACCTGGAAACATTAGCTTCACCTCCTGTAACAGACAAAAGCATTTTACCATCTATTCTCTCGATGCATGTGAGGAGGACCAACCCTCTAATCCTAAAATCTTCATGAAGTACATCTGGAGAACTGGACTGTTAGTTGTTAGTTAACACAAACATCACCACAAACTTTACAGTAAGATTCTGACCTTGGCGAACATTTTGAGTCTTGAGCTGGGGTCTCTGGATGTAGTGACCATGACTTTGGGATCTTCCACTCCTGCCCATTTATACTCATCATCCATGTGTGAGCTGACACCTGCGCAATGTTAAAAATAATTACCTATTATTAACTATTGTCAATTAAATAAAAATAGTACATCAAGACCTATGCTGTAACACATAACCAGGGTGTTACTTATTAGACATTGTGTAACCCTCTAGTGGTCATTGGTTACATGAGGCATCATTTACTGCAGAGTGAAGTACAACATGGAGTCATATTCATAATTACATATAAATAGTTGACATATTTTTATAATTGTTGGAACTTCTCAAAAGGAAAGCATGTAATTATTAAGGAGACAAAATTGTCAGCAAAAAGACGACAAAAACCTGTCTCCAACTGATCTATAACACCTCTTGGTTGAAAAGTTACTAATCTATATTTTCTTTAACTATGATTTTTTTCAGGCCAACCTTTAACAGTTATTCAGGGGCAAAAAAAAGGTATCTAATTTAATTTTCAATGCTGTCTTGCACATTTGAGTTTGTCTTTTACATGTACTGCACTACACCACTGATATCTACATACTCACAACCCCATACTTAACAACCCCACCTTACTTTTTGTAATTATGTATCCTTGTTTAAACCTTTATTTGAAATTAAATATACTTTTGAGTACTTTTACTCCACAGAAATGAGACTTGCCTTCTGCTCCTTCATCGTCATACTCCAGCAGTTTCTGTAGCTGCAGAGCATCTTTGCGGACCTCAGTGGGAAGAAGACGGTTTTCTGCAACAACACATGTTTTTGTCAGTAAGTCATGTGCAATAATTCTGTGTTAAAAAGTGTTAAGTGGAACAGTGGAAATGCTGTACCATCAAGTGCTCCTTTCAGCTTCTGCTTCTTCTCTTCTATAGTCCGGAGACGGTCTTCCTGGGCTTTCCTGAACAGGTATTCTTTCCTCAGTCTAGCCTCTCGACGAAGCTGCACACACAAATACATAGAAATACGAATCTTAACTCAAAACATAGAATTTGAAGAGAGTTGAATTTTAATATTTAAAAAGGTGCACTGTGTAATTTTATGGTTTGTTTGTTTGGAGGGCCATCACTTGGTTATTTCCATAGATATGTCATTGCTCTTCCTGGAATGTTCTACAGTATGACATGAAACAGCTCTACCTTACATTATAAAAATTACAGGTAGTTTCATAGCTCAAAAATACCTAGAAAAACAGGAATTCTGACTGTGAGCGGGGCTGCAATGACATTTCCTTGGAGAAAAGCATTTGACGGACCCTGCATCAGAAAAGTTACACAATACACCTTTAAAGTGAAAAACAAAGTTAAGTAGGCAATTTGACTTATTTGTCATGTTGGGCTGATCACAACGGTAATGATTTTGGTGTTTTTTTATTTTTAATTTATTAGTTTAGTCATTTTTTGTTTAGTCAGTTAGACATTACGTAGCAATGACCTAAGTTAAAAAGCACATATCTGTATTAAAATCAGTACATTTTTACTTATATTAGAATAGAATAGAGGAAGAAGAAGAAGAAAGAAAAAAACACTATTCAATCATGGCTAAAATTTTTCTTTGATTTGTCCTTATATACAAATAAATAAAGTGATAAAAATATCCAAGATGTTTGCAAAGAGAAAAAACACATGTCACGACTAAAGCTTACAGGACGATTAGATTAGAAGGACAATAATTAAAAATAGAGGTGTAACAATCTTGCGTGTTTACTTGGACTCCCATATGATTCCCCAATAAACATTAGCAAAAACGCCGCTGACAACAATCAAACATGATTGAAACTTTGAATTTCGAGTACGCCATCAAAGTTCAATCCCGCACAAAGGAACACGATGTCAAAACCAACAGAAAAAACGGTAAAATGTATATTTAACTCACCATGATTGCTTATAGCTGGATGTAGCAGATTCTCACATGGACACAGGAAGAGGAATGAACTACGGCTTCTCTGATTGGTTGCAGCGGAACCAATGAACGCGCGTTTTACTCGGAAGGGCAGTCGCTTTATTTATGTATGTATGTATGTATATGTGTATGTATGTATATATATATATATATATATATATATATATATATATATATATATATATATATATATATATATATATATATATATATTTTATTTTTGCATTTTATCTTTTCTTATTTTATGCTTATTCAATAAATGTAAGCTATTTAATTACATACATTTATAAATAATCATTGAATTTCATGGCATTGTTTGGAGATGCAGAAAGAAGCACGGTCACTATTTATTTATTTATTTATTTATTTATAACTGGAAACTTTATGATGAGAAAATGTACTAGTAAAAAAAATCACGAAAGCTGAAGTCAAAACCATTAATTTCCTTATGCATCTTCCTATATTTGTTTGTTTGAGCACTGAACTCTGTTCACTTTTACATATTTGAAGGGTGATGATTAATGCCTTTTTGTTTGTAGTGTTTTTAATGCATTTTGAAAACACTATGTCCAAACTGTGACTGAATTCCAGAGGTGGGTAGTACTTTGTTACATTTACTCGAATACCTTTTTAAAGTAATTGCACTTTTCAAAGTACTTTTCTAGCTATCTATTGAAGTAACAATAGTTTTATTTGGGTAAAAGTTTTGGTAAGTCTACAAGTGATAAAAGCTTTATGTTGATGACATGAAACAATTTGAACATTTGTATTTCTTGCACCACTCTTTCAGATAGACTACAATTTTTCAATTTTTTTTGTTTTTGTTTTGTTTATCATTTGAAAACACTACATTTTGTCCATTATGTAATGTTTTGTCCTTCTAATTACATAAAATTTATAAATATGTTACCTCCCAACATATTCTTAAGTTACTTCAGTGGTAGTTCTTCCAAATACTTTTTTACTCTTACCTGAGTCATTTCCTGGACAACTACTTTGTACTTCTACTTGAGTAATATTATTTTGAAGTCACGTTACTTTTACTTGAGTACAATTTTTGGCTACTTTACCACCTCTACTGAATTCTATCCAATTCAAAGTCAGAGTAGACCAGTCAGACATAAACACAGAAACATGGACATACTGAACTCTGAAAATGAAGAAATAAGTTTGTATTTATTGGTCAAAACAAACAGAGGCAAACTCACACATAGTGTAAAGATGAGACATGTTATGGGGTGAAAAATATATGAAGAGTTTAGTCCAAAATGTCCTGCTCAAAATGTCTAAAACGATGTCTAATTTAACCGTCATGGAAACTAGTGTAAAAATTTTGTCAACATTTTGGACTAAAATATCTCCAAGTATATTCTTTATTTCCTATACATTCTTTTCTTACTTTACATTGAGTCTCATGCGTCAGGTTGAAACTTTCAGCATTTATCCTCAGTCACTGACAAAGACACAAAAATACAGGACCAATGCTGCATAGTTTCACACACAATTTGTAAACTGTTAAAAAGAGTGTTTTGGGTTTATTCATGGGAGTCAAAATGGTAAGAAGTGTCCTTTTACTTAAAACATGTCTAAAAATACAATACCTACAATTTATCCTTAGAAGTGGAACGTTTCACAGCTGGCAACCATTTTGTATTGTACAGATGGTGTAACAGACTAGTCACTGGTGATAGACATAGAAACAGCGCTCCCCTTGCCAGTGAATTTGTTTCACTGGGGAAAATGTCAGTTAAAAGTTTTGTTGGAGGAAATCAACTTCATACGAAAATTTTGCATTGAATATCCAAACAACAGCAACAACAACATTATATATTTTTTTAATTTTTAGAAAAAAAAAAAAGAAATTTCTAGACATTCATGAAATACTTTACATTTTGGACATTTTGCAAACAATTTAAAGAAGCTGTACCCATTTTTTCTCCACACAGAGTAAAGTCAAATTTGTTGTCTTTGCTTTCTGCATTTAATATATTTTATTTCTAGTTCTAATTCGAGTTGTTAGCAGAAACCTACTCAGGGTACTCAGGATGCTGGAAATGTGTTAAGGTGAGGAATATTTTATTTTAGATCAGTTTAAAAAGAACTACTTCTTTTTTTTCTACTTTTTAAATGGGTAAAGATCAGGTACAACGTCTTTAATTTGCATTTCAGCTGATCTATGTCTATCAACAATATATAGTCTATAGATGTTAAAGCTACATTATGTAACTTTTCTGGTGGAGGGTCTGTTAAATGCTTTACTCATTAGAGATGCTATTGCTTTGTCTGGAATGTTTCACAGTATAGCATTAAGTCTTCATGGAGACCAAACCAGGCCAAGTTACAGGTTTTTCTACATATTTTGGATCTATAAAACCACTTTTGTAATGTAAAGTAGATCTGTTTAAAGTAGATCTGTTTAAAGTAGATCTGTGGAACATTCCAGACAGAGCAGTGACATATCCATAGAAACAAGCAGGTGATGTACGGACCCAGATCCAGAAAATAACGCGGTGCATCTTTACAAAAAAAAAGATAAGAAAATTTTTGCAGATGTAGAACCACTCAGGTCCCCTTTTCAACAAAAAAAAACAAAAAACAACTCTTTACAATTAAAAATAAATAAGACCAAATCAATTGGACTGATCAGAAGTTGTTAGTGAGGAACTGTGCTGAAAAATACAAGAATTATCTCACCGCACTTGTTTATGGAGCATCACAGTTAAAAACAGTTTACATTAAGAACACTTTTAATGCTTCATGAGACACGCCGTTTGAACCTCCTTTAAGGCATTTTCTGAGAACAGGAAGATACTGGGTTTAAAATGTCGAAAAAGTACATCCAAACTAAATCGGAAACAACTCAGCAGTTTAAAAAGGTGCACTGTGTAACTTTTTGGTTGGTAACTTGGTTTAGTTTGAACTCCATAAAGACAGAAAGGTTTGATGCCATACCAGGAAATATTCCAGGTAAAGAAATAATATCTCCATGGAAAAAAGCATTAGACGGACCCTACACCAGAAAAGGTACACAATGCACCTTTAAGTTATAGTTAAAATGTATTTGAGTGGTGACAAGCCACGTTTTTCTAGGTTTAACTTTGAATAACTTACATACTTTAAATGAACATCAGTTTGGAATGACAGTAGAGGGTTTGATATCGTAGACTGTACGTACATGTGATTCTGCATTTCTAATAACCATTTCCTTAAATTTGGTTTCCTGTTTGCTCAATTTAACTTCATTGAGACCAAATGCTATAGATATGAAATTGTGTAAGTAATAAGGCAATGAATATTAAACCAAATTTAATATATGGACGAGTGCTAGGGTCTGAGGCTGAAATGTATTTTTGTACAGACAAAGTATATATAGCCATTTATATAACAATGGTTATCCTTTCAGCCAATATGGAATGCCCCGACTCAAAAACCAACAACATTGCTTTACTTAAAAGGCCTGTTTCCCCCCATGTATTTGAGGAAAACTTGTCTTGTCCCAGTAGAGATATATTTTGTATAAGCAGCTCTTGAGGTTAAAGTCTGCTGTGTAATATCAGCATCCAGTTAGAAATCATTTTATTGTGCGATAATAAGGAAGTGAACATTAGCATGCTAGTTGTTGTAAGCTTTACTGTCACTCCGCACTGGTCTTTGAGGGGTTTGAAAATGAACTAGGTGCATTGTGTAACTTTTTTGATGGAGCGTCCATCAAACGCTTTTCTCCATGGAGACGTTATTGTTTTGTCTGGAATGTTTCACAGTCACAAACCTTTCTATCTTCATGGAGACCAAACCGGACCAAGTTACAGGTCAGATCTGCGGAGAGGCAACCCAGCTTACAGTCAGAATGTCTCTTTTTCTAAGTACTATATTTTTCGGACTATAAGTTGCACTTTTTTCATGGTTTGAATACTTCCTGTGACTTATACTCCAGTGCAACTTAGATATTAAAATTTTCACACTGACAGCCACGAGAGGCTCTAGGCTTGTGTGTCAGTATCTGCTACTCCTATTACTCCTATACCACTGTCACTTGGAGCTCAACTGCAGGTCACCTGCAGAAAGAGCCACTGTCCTGCAGCAAGCAGTGCCATATTCAGCTGAAAACAGTAATCAAGCAGCAGAAAGAAAGTTTGAAATGAGCGAGAAACTTGTGAGGGACTGCCGGAAAGTGGGGATGGAGAACACAGCTTCATGGTAATCGGGAGGGTGCACCATGTAACTTTCGTGGAAGTTACTGGATGAATGGACAAAGCCTGAACTTCAGTGACACCGAAACCACCCTGTAGGGATTCAGAAAGGCCGGAATAATTCTAATGGGAACTGATGCCGAGTCTGACGACAACTACACAGAAGAGGAAGCGGCGCTTTGGAGTGAGATGGAGAGTTTGGTAAACTTGTTCTGTTGTTTATGTTATAGTTATCTGAAGAAGTGTTCATATGTGACGTAACAGCCTGTTGTTCTCTGTTCTATTGTTATTATTAGAAATTGTCTTTCAACATGAAATGTTGGTTCCTGGTCTGTGATTTTATAAAATAAATTCCCCTCAAAAAGTGCGACTTATAGTCCAGTGTGACTTATATATGTTTTCTTCTTGTTCATTACTCATTTTTTGGCTGGTGTGACTTGGAGCGATTATAGTCTGAAAAATATGGTATTTTTGAGAAGTAAAATCACTTGTAATTGAATAAATGTAAGCTAGAGCTGTTTAAAGTCATGCTGTGGAACATTCCAGGCAGAGCAATGACATCTTCATAGAAACATGCAGGTGACAGTCTCCCAACTAAAAAGTTACACCTTTAAGTAATTATATTTTTATACTATCCCTGCTTAGTTTGGATATACTTTAAATGGATGTCATTTCAGTTATGACGAGATACATATTTGTAATTCAGTACTGTTTGGACACAGGACACCAAAACTGGACAAACATCTGCCATTGACCATTTAAATAAAGGAAAATAACAACACATAGGATTCAGTCATCACTTTGTGCATGCTCTCACCACACGACATTCAGACTAAATGTGACCGTATATTTACAGCAGCTCACAGGAGTAGATCAAATAAAACAACAACCGAACCAGAGCCCCTTTTAAAATGCTTTTAGGAAGGAATTTGTAAACTCAAAATGTACCTTGACGTAAAGTTCTTAAATGGAGTGCATGCTTAGGGGATTGAATCAACAACCTCTGTGCTAACTACTCTGGCTTACTTATTTATAGAGACTAATTTATTCTATGAAGTATGGAAATTTTGGGGTCAATATGCAAAAAATTTTAGATGCAGCGTAATGTCCCTTTAACACATTATTTTTGAATTAGAACTTTTAAAAAATTTAAGTTAAAGGGGCAAAAGTACAATTTCTTTTGCCCCAGTAAATCACCTCTTGGGTCAAAATAAAAAATCTGCGTGCTGTCTGTATCTAATTATAAGGTGTTTTATCTTCCATGAACCAGGAAATGCGGCGTTAGATTTACTCCGTTCATCAATTTTCTTCCACTTTATCCGTGTCGGGGTCGTGGAGTCTAAACAGGGATGACCGGACTTGTTTCTCCAGGCCTGGGAACGCCTCTGGATCCTTCTGGAAGAGCTGTTAGAATTACTGTGACGGCAAAACTCCTCTCTGGTCTGAAAGTTAACGAAAGCGCTTATAAACTCAACGCAGTGAGTAATTAACACGCTCTGAATGCATAAAGTAAGTGAGGAATAAGTGAAGACTGCTACAGACTGTTAAAAATGAACTAGGTCTGTTTTACACATTTTTAAAAGACAGTAACAATCAGGTAAACTGTCTTTAAATAAAAGAAATCTCTCAAAATATAAAAATTATGCCTTTTGGTACATGTCATACCCAAAATTTTTACATTGTTTTACACGAGGAAAATGATCAGTTTGAGTGTTGGGGTCTGAATATTGATATACGTATATATGAAAGCTAGTTGTATTGCACTGGGTTACACTACATAGTCAATAATGTGTGCCACAGATGATAGAAAAATGCACTTAGAAAGAAAGAAAAATGCACAATTAATGCAATAGACTAGTTATGATATCAACAGCAATATAGGTACAACCATTATTTTAAAAAAGCAGTTTAGAAGGGGCTTGTGTTTTTCCCAAACATAAACTTCAGTCTCTCTACAGTACATTTGGGCTTCCTCTTCACCCCTTATTGGTCGCAATGGAAGTGACGGCTGTAGTGCATGATGGGAAATGTAGTCAAAAAGCACACAGACCCAATCCGTAGTCTGGTCGTAGTCTGTTACCTGGATGTTGAGCCTTTTGCGTATTGCGTATGGCTTGGAGATGCGGTTTTATGCACATACCAGTCATAAGTGGATCCAAGAAGTCTCCGGTGATGATGTTTGGAGCTGGTTTTAGAGCTCCTCATAGTCTCCGTCATCGTGTTTTGCGGCCCCCGTTCCCCCACCCAGAAAGTCCTCGAGCTCGTCCACTTCAGATTTCTTACTCCGGGATTTCTTTTTCTTCTTGTCCTTTTCGTCGCAGGCTCCGGATTCATCCTTCTCTTTTTTCTTGTGTTTGTGTTTCTTCTTGCTTTTCTCGTCCTCCTGAAAAACAACAACATGCCCCATTTTACACTGTTTTCTGATCTATGTTGTGATGTTTTCCTTATCAGAAACATCACCGTACTTGTGTTTTGTTTCTTTGAGCACACAGACCCTGCTGAGTTCTTCTCTCAAACCAAAAAAATAAACACTTTTTTCCACCTTGTGATGTCAAGTGCTCCACTGTTTTTAAACTCCATACACTTTCACCAGAGTCATTTGGACAATTTCAGCTATGGAAATACCAACCTCTACTGAACAAAAAGTAAAAGGTAACTGTTAACTTGAAAACTACCACTTCATGACACTGAGTTTTGGAGATGTAAACAGACTAATAATAAAGTAATAATGTGTGACTGGAACCAAACACAAGTCCGGGTATGCGGTAACAACATTCTAAAATGGCTTGAAGCGTACAAAAGTCAGTTTCACATAATAACTTTTTTATGAGTTTGTAATGATGTTATAATGTTGTTCCTTATTAGTTCACTCAAGTTGTATTTTAACTGATCCATGCTTGGAATAATGTTTTTTAATCATGTCTTGTCCTGCGTTCGTGGCTTGAAGGTGAAGAAAATGTCACTTCTCACTTGTCCATGCTCTTTGCCCACTGCTCTGTATTTAATTGTAATTATTCAAACTCTGGGTCATACATGTAGGATTTAGAAATGATAATCTGTTTGAAAAGTGCTCTACAAATTACTTTTTTCATGTGTTCTGAATATTGTCTGTTGTGCAGAATTTCGACGAAAAGATGTTTAGTTTACAGCAAAGAGCCTTCACCACTCACTTACCTCTTTGCTTTTCTTCTTCTTTTTCTTCTTTTCTTTGGAGGAGTGTTTGGTTTCTTTTTCTAAACACAAAGGAAACAAACAATTTTATATAGAACATGAATGTAAGGGCACAAATAGACACAATACCTGCACTATATTTGAGTATAGAGCTCTTTGTCTTGTCTAACATAGCTATAAGTACATGTTCTATACATATATATTATTTTTTATTTTTCCTTTTTGGGAATTAATTAATAGGAATTTATGGGTATTACAAATTAACCCAACAGGCTGTCCCTCCACCATTTTAACCTAGCAACTTTACTCATCATCAATTACATTCAGATGATTTTTGAATAAATTCATTCATCAAACAGTATTTTAGAATTCATATTGACATTGTTTTTATTTGTAGGAATTCCCCAAATTTTCCAGCCTAAGTTCTCATGGAAAGTTTGTGGAAATTTACCCACAACTTTCCACTCCCATGCTGCATACAAAGTCCAGAGCAGTCTCTGCTTGAACAGTGAAAGGTGTGCACTTTCACTTTTACACGCAGAGGACTGAACACCGGAGCGAGACAGCCAAACCATTTCTCCATTAGGTAACACATTATTTGAGTTTCTTTTTTACACAACTCAACAGAAAAAGCGTAATGTGTACTGTATAATTGAGGTCACTTGAGTTATACTTGCAGTATAGTCACCTACATAATGTCAGTGAGTTATACAATTTTCAGCCTTGAGTTGTGGTTTCTTCTAGGGAAAACTGTGACAAACAGCGACGTTTGGTAAAGCGTTTACTACTTTACAACAGCTGTTTTTGTGTCTCAAAAGTGCACAATGCAATCTATTCCAAAGCTAGTTTGTTTCTACTCCATCAGTGAGAGACAGAGCAAAGGGTAAACTCTGTCCCGTGGTTGTCACAAAGCAGTCAGACTGCCGCAGTCATATGTTCTATAGCAAGTCCTATGTGCTCTGTGTGAGAATTTCAGACCATTCATTTGCAAATTACAGGATCAGTTCAGGGTTATTGTGGACAAAGCAATGGATATCATGTGCCTGCAGCATAGAATGAACTGTGTGAGGAAGGCACCTGGCTGCAGGGGCGGAGTTAGATTTGTTAACACTTGTTTAAACCAATCACACTGTTCTTAACATGTCCAGACCCCGCCCCACCACTCCTCTCAGGCACTGTCCACTTTAGCAGCTTTATTTCAAATGTGGTTGTTGGATTACTTTTCACCTATGTATCGTAGATTAAGCAAACAAAAATATACAAAGAAAAACAGCTAGTAAAAAAAAAGGTTTCTGTTGAATTAAATTAAACCAAATCATTAACAAAATTACAAAATTTCAAGCTTTATAAGATCTCAAAATCTGTACAAAATAGTTTTAAAATACTTTCTTTACTCTTTAAGAATATTTTAAGTGGGAACTTTAATACTTTTATTTAAGTAGATTATTTCATGTGATTCTTTTTCTTATTTTTATAAATATTTTTCTTCTCTGGTATCTGTACTTTTACTTAACAAAATCGAGTACTTCTTCCACCACTGCTTAAAAATAACCAACTTGTAAACAATTTTAATGCAGTGGTTTTACTTACTTGCTACTCAAAATAATAATATTTTTTGTCTTTTTATCTGCCAGGAACATGCCTCGCTCCCCATCCGACGTGTGGAGACATTTCACCCAAGTCCACGTCGACGGGAGACCTTTGTGGACTTGTAAATATTGTGGGAAAATGTACGTGAAGAATGCCACAAAACTGCAGAGGCATATTGCTAAGTGTCAAAAGTTTCTCCAAGCTTCAAATCCACCAATAGCCAAGACCAGCGCCCCAGTGGAGTCCGAGTGGGCGTTCTCCGACTCTGAAATCCAGTCTTCTTTAGCCCGTGGGTCCTCTGGTGTTGGAGCGTTCTTCGATTTTATAGATGAAGATAGTCGGCGAAATGCAGATGTGTGTTTCGCTAGAGCTGTCTATGCAACTAACCTCCCCCTGACAGTGGCCTCCAACACGTACTGGAATAAGTTTATCAATGCCCTGCGCCCATCCTACAGCCCCCCGACCACACAGGCACTCTCCACTCATTTACTGAATGAGGAATTTGAAAGAGTGCAAACAAAAGTAAAGGAAACCATCAACAAAGCAGACTGCGTCTCGGTCATCTCTAATGGCTGGTCAAATGTTCTGGAACAAGGCTTTATTAATTACATTGTGACCACTCCTCAGCCTGTGTTTTATAAAAGGACAGACACCAGGTCCCGCAGATGCACTGGGGATTACATTGCAGAGGAGCTGACAACAGTGGTCAAAGATCTGGGCCCAGAGAAGGTGTTTGCGCTGGTGACTGACCATGTAGAGCACATGGAGGAGGCCTGGGCACGTGTGAAGGAAAGCTATCCTCACATATCCACCATTTGCTGTGCTGCCCACAGCTTAAACCTTCTCCTCAAGGATATCATGATGTTGAAGTCTATGGACACTTTACACAAAAAGGCAAACCAGGTAGTTAAATGCGCGAGGGTGAAAAGGCAGATTTCAGCTACTTACTCCACAAAACAAAAGAAGAAGAGTGGGACTCTGAGTCAACACAGGGTGGTGGTCATGTATGAAACTGTACTGGAACAAAAAGTGTGTCTTCAAGACATGGCCGTGCCTCACTCTCCAGAGCTGAGCAGTGAGGTCCAGGAAATCCTGCAGGACCATGTGTTCTGGGACCGACTGAGCAGCAGTCTAACACTCCTCAGACCAATCACAGCAGCCATTGACAAAATACAAGCGGGTGATGTCATCTTATCAGAAGTTTTGTGTGTTTTTGCGGCGCTCAAAAAGGAAGTCCTAAAAGTGTTGCCGACTTCTTCATTACCAAAAGCAGAGGTGAGTGCTGTGGTGGAGACTCTGGAGAAACACAGAGAGCTGTGCTTAAGGCCACTGCATGCAGCAGCGTACATGCTGGACCCCAAGTATGCTGGAGACATACTGTCTGGTGAGGACATTAACGGAGCCTACTCAGTCATCGCTGCTGTGTCTGAGTGCATGGGTCTTGACAGTGGCAGAGTGCTGGGGAGTTTGGCCCTGTACCGTACCAGACAGGGCCTGTGGAGCATGGATGGGATATGGAAGTCGTGTCAACATGTACCTGCCTCCACCTGGTGGAAGGGCCTCTGTGCCTCTGAGCCCATCACTCCTGTAGCTTCAGCAATTCTCCAGATCCCCCCCACCACAACTGCCATAGAGACCTGGTCACAAAACATGCAGACCAAAGCCCACTGTGGTCTGACAGATAACAGAGTGGACAAACTGCTATGTGTCCAGGCAAACCTGCGGTTTGAGGCCGGTCCAGAGACCTCCTGCATCAGACCAGACAGTGGACCTGAAGAGGAGTCTGATGGAGAGCAGGTGCACATGGACAGTGGTGATGAAGCCTGAAAAGAAGAACTCTGAAGAGACTTGGAGCTAGTGATTTTTCTTGTTATAAGTTTTATTTTTGAAAGCAGCTTACCTTTGTTGTCCAAAGAAATTATATAATATTTCATAAATGTTCCATAAGATTCTACTTACAGAACAGGCTTAAAATAAAATACCAATAAATATACTGCTTAAATTTTCATAATTTGCCAATAACTTACCATTCCTAGAACAGTAGGTAGTGACATGCAATCCTTCAGTCCTACTAGATACTAGCACAATTATTAGTACTTATTTGTAAGGCTCTAGTCCTGTCCTCATTTAGTTCATTGTTTGGTAGATTGTGTCTTAGTAGAGTTCTTATTCCCCCCAGCTTCTCCCACAGTAAAGCTGTATGGGACAGTAGGAATCACTTGCCTTCCTGTTCGTCGCTGCTGTCTTTGGCGGCTGGAGGCTCCTCACTGAAGCCCAGTCCAAACAGGTCTGTGTCGTCTTTGTGTTTGAAGGACAGGTCTGTGTGGTCTTTGTGTTTGAACGACAGGACTGTGGGCTTCAGAGGCTCCTTCACCTGCGGCACCTCTTCATCAGACAGGTCAGACAGAAGCTCGTCCCGCACCGGAAACACCTCCTGCACATGTGAGACAGGAAAACTGAGATGTACCTCTTAAGCCAATCTTTGTTTATTTTTGAGGCTTTTCCTGTGTACTATGAATGCAATGTGAGGCGAAATACTGAAGAACCAGCGAAGACAGGTTCACTTCACATGGTAAACTATCTATAACCATCACTATAATAGGAACAAACAGTATTAACTAATTGGTCTTTATTTCTTTGCAAAACATACTGGTATAAAATGTTAAATGGACACATTTTTAAGGTTACAAGACTGACTCTTTGTTATTCACAAATGCCTACATCTCTGTTACCTTGGTTACTTTTGGAGTATCTGATGCCTCAGAGTCGAAGTCGGGATCGTCCATGACAAAGGAGAGCATCTGCTGTGCCACCGGTGCCTCAGGGTCTGAGTCAGAGTCAGGTTTATTTGCATTGCTCTTCTTTTTGCTGGATGTCTGCTCCAGGGTGGGGGTCAGGGTCAGTGAGATGGGGGGTCCGCTCGGAGGTGTAGACTCTGGGGCCTTAGATGAGCTTTTTGGTTTGGTGTTTAGGATCTGAGGTCTGCAAGAGAAAAACAGTTACTTGCACTGTCATAATTTTCTGTGTATAAAAGAAAAAAAAAAGAGATTATTAAATTGCAAAGGCTTTAATTTTAGATTAGAGTTTTGCACAAAATTTAGATTGTAGAGAACAAAATATAATATCACCCTTTTATAGAAATACCTTGTTGTTATAGCTGTAGCTCTACAAACATGTTCTGAAATGCAAATGATTCCTGTATTCGTCAGTTCATAATCGAGTCTTCTCTCTGGAGATGTTTACAATGTACACTTTAGGCCAATAATACTGAATGTGGATGAGGGGGAGCAAAAATTCAAGTAGTTAAAATGCTGATTTTTGTTATAATACAGTGGGTTCTTGGGTCTTGTTGCTAATATCAATGATCAGGTCCAATATTTGTGCATTTACATTTTAGATATTTCATTGCAAATAGGGAAAAATTGGCTCTTGCCCTATGTTTGGATTTATGACATTATGTTCTACAATCTGAAAGCCATGAATTGTAAATGAATGCCATGCTGTGGTACATTCCTGGCTAAATAATATCTCCGTGGAGAGAAACAAGTCCATCAAGAAGTTGTGAAATCAAGTGTTTAGTTTTTAGTTTACTTCAGTTTAGTTTCATCGGTCAGTTAAAGGTGTATTTTGTAACTTTCTGGTGAATGGTGTGTGTGCTTTTCTCTATGGAAAGGTTATTCTGTCTGGAATGTTTTACAGCCTTTTTTTTTTTTTTACAGCCATGGAGACCAAACCAGACCAACTTACAGGGTAGATCTGTGGAGAGGTAAACCCCATTTTTGTGCTATAAAACCACCTGTAATTGAATAAATGTAACGTAGAACTGTTTAAAGTCATACTGTGTAACATTTCAGGCAGAGCTAATTATATTTCAATGATTTAACACAGAAATTCCACAAAGCACTAAATTAATCTACAGACCAAAGGGGTTTGGGCTGAAGTTTAACACAAATTTTGCCTAACCCTATAATACAGAATAGAATACAAGATGACAAGATGGCAGAACATCTATTTACAGAAAAAAAAAAAAAAGTGAAAGTGAAAGTACAGCCTTACTTCTTGAGCTCAGGTTCACTATCCAGGTCGTGGTCGGCTGTGATTGTGGGTGCTTTGAGGGCATCCTCTTCGTCACTGCTCAGGGTGATGTCTCTACCTGGTGTCAGGCTCCGTGGCTGGGGCAGATTGAGTACCGAGTCGTCCGGGTCCAGCTCGTCCTGGAACCCGGAGACCATGGGGTTTCCTCTTTCACCATCACTGTACACAGACAAAAGCATGTGCAGGCTTGTGACTGCACCTTTGTATAATCCTTTTCCACTGATTTTCAAACAGTGTGCTGGGGAACACTAGTGTGCCCTGAGGTATTGCCAGGTGCCTCAGTTTAAAATGGATTTTTGTCCAAGTTAATTCATACATATACTTTGAAGTGTCTGGGCAATTTCTGAAGCAAGCAGTCGACAAGCACAAAAAAATCATCTTTGCTAAATAGAAAGAACCAGACATTCTACAAAAAAATAAAATAAATACATAAAAAATTGTGCCGTGGAATAATTCTGACCAAAACAACCTCTCATGACTCTAAAAAAGGTTGAAATACCTATTCTACCAGCCCAAACAATTTTCAAAGTCGACTTAATGTTATAAATATTCCACAGTAACTACACTTTATGAATTTTATTTTAGAATTTTGTGGAAAGGTATTTTTATTGTAAGAAGTCAGTGGAATAAATATTCCATACAGTTACACAATTTAATTATTAAATACAATACTTAAATATTTGCAATAATATAACAGAATAGTACACAATAAAAAAAGCATTTTACAAAAAAACCAAAAACAAACAAACAAAAAAAAACAACTCACTATGTAATGTAATGTTCTCAAACAAAAAACATGATGCCTGGTTAAATAAGTACCAAACTAATTGAAATGATACACAAATACAGAAAAAAAAACTGTTCTTGGTATAGCAAAGGAGAAAAACAACAACTGGAACTCAATTGGAAAAAACAAAAAACAAAAAAACTAACTACTTTTGTCCAGTTGACAAAATAGAATTTCTCCATTGCTATTCTAATTCTTAGCACAAAAAAAATTATGATTGTTCAGTTGTAGCACATTAATCAAAAAACTTACTTTACGGTTACCTGTCACATTATTAAGGTGTTACTGGTGTTAGAATAGAAAGAGCATACCTGTCGCTGTCCACGGCTGCAGTAGGAGCCGGCTGTGGGACCTTGGTTTTGGACGGCAGGCTGTCCTCTAGGAAGCTCTTGTCTAGTCGCTCATCAGGGACAAAATCATCCACGCTTTGGACTTTATCAGGGCACACCGGGGCAGGAGGTTCCTCTGAAGAACACAACATGGAGACAAAAAATGAGATGTTTAAAACAACAAAAATATATACAGTAAAGCTCTGGTATAGGAGTTGTGTGGGGATGTCCCATGAAGGCTGTATCATACGTTTGCTAGAAGATCAGGAGAGAGTCACATGACATTCCAGCCAGTCTTTGGTAATTTTTCAACTCAGCTTTTAAACCATGTGACCGCTTTAGATGGATTACTCAAGACACTTATATTCCCACGAGATAAAACCAGAGGAAAAAATATGTAAATAAACCAAAAATAATAATAACAAAAAAAAAAAAAATCTTAGTGATGGTATGGAAACTGCAACCTCTGTAAGGAACATTATGCTGCATGTGGTGGCAATAATTATTATTTGGGGTACAACTAATTAATCAATATAAGTTAAGTCAAAACCTCTTCCAGCTTCATTGTAAAAAAACAAACATACAAACTCAAATGCATACACATTTTTAAGAGTGGGACGAGGTACAATTTCCACAAGACGAGATGAGACACAAGATTGGACCTACGAGAATGAGACAAGACGAGACTGTGAAATTATTTAGGCTATAATACATACATTGTGCAATTCAATTCCCAATTATAGCCTCACCATTTTTACTTTATTTAATATTTCTGCTGTCTCTGTAGCTCTCCTTTTTGGGATTACAGTTTCTCAAAAAATGTAACTGGCCAGTGCTCAATTTTTTCAACCCAAGCATAAAAACATGAGTAAAAAAATTTTGTGTAGTATGTGTAGTATGTGTGCACGATCTTATGGCATGAGATCTTGTCCCATTCCTATTTGAGGCGTAATCAACAATTTTACATCAATTAATGAATATAAGTTGTGTCAAAACCTCTTCCAGCTCGCATCATTAAAAAAAAAAAAAAAAAAAAAAAGGTCAGAAGGTCAGAAAGTTAATGGTGTGCATTATTTTGACATTACAACATTCTAGCATGTCTGTAGTCTAAAACTGAGCTGAAAGATAGTAAGAATTTGTTGTCAGATTGCAGATTTGTTGATCCGGTTTATGGTCAGTATTAGGGATGGTACAAGATATCATGTCACAAGACCTCATGAAACTAATTCCTACAAGAAAAGTTATCGTGTCAGATTCCTTAATGTTTACATTTGGACTGGACAAAAAAGGGTTACATATTAACTGAGTTACATCTCTTATAGTTCCAAAAAGCAGTGCTAGAATGGAAACAAAAATATTAAATAAAAAATAAATAAAAATGTGAGGCCAAAATTGGAAACTGAAGCACAAAATGCATGTATCTGGAAATAAGTTAAAATCTCGCCTTGTCTCGTTCTCGTGGACTCAATCTCGTATTTCGTCTCGTCTTGTGGAAATTGTGTCTCGTCCCATCCTTAGTTATTAATATCTTTGTAATTGCTGGGCCTATCCACATGAAACAAAAACTGGCACCAAGTCCAAAGTCTTGACGAGGATTGGCAATTATAACTGATTGGAAAGGTGAATATAATATAGTGCAGAATCAGATAGACCTGTGACTGATTAGAGTGGCTAATTCAGACAAGTGGAACCGCTGCTGTAGAGGGGCAGGAATGCAGTGGAACAGAGAAATTGTAGATCGTTTGAGCTCTGGCACCAAGAATACTTCAACAGATATGTGCCTCTATGTAATACACAACTCCTAGAAACTGATCACCGGTGTATGTATATTTATATAGCATGTGTGCAGTCAAAAACCTATACACATGATTAACCTGAAATAAAAATACTACGGCTATTGTCGACTGAAGACTGTAGCTCTGTGGATTGGTTATTCAGCTAAAGGTGGGTGGGGAAAGGCACTCGCAAAATGATAAGGAAAAACAACTCTACAGTATGGCTGGGCGATAATATGGTATGACAGTATACCACAGTATCAAAAAGTAGCAACGGTATCAGTTTCATTACCGTCATTTTTTTTTTTTAAATCTGCAGCGCATAAGGACCTAATATAATTTTATAAAAATCTGCAGTAGCTCAGTTGGTAGAGCATTCGCCCACTGATCTGAAGGTTGGCGACCTCTCGACATAAAAAAAAAAAAAAAACGAAAAAAAAAAAAAAAAAAACATCACAGGTTGAGCGGTCAGATCCACTGACCCACAGGTTGGCTGGTGTGATTCCAGCTCCCACAGATGAATGCTGCCATCGTGTCCTTGGGCAAGACACTTAACCCACACCTTGCCCACAGTGTCTGCGTACACTGGTGTGTGAATGGGTGAGTGGTTCCTTGTTGTAAAGCGCTTTGAGTGCCTTGAAAGTGGAAAAGCGCTATAGAAAAATGTGACCATTTACCTATAATTTATTGATACCTAAATTTGTTTGCTCAGCACAAATTAATGTGTGGTTGTATTTTCAGTTTAATGCAATCACAATTTAAAACTAATAGTGTCTATAATGTTTCTTTTAACTGCATGGGGAGATGACGTTCGATTAGTTTCGTTCTGCTGTCATGTGATGCTCATAAGGGAGACCAAGATAACATGGCGAGTTGGTCCCCAAAAAAATACTTCTGCAATTTGGCAGCATTTTGGCTTCAGGCGCACATTTCTTTACGTTTTACAGAAACAAAACTTAAAACCACACGGCAAATTTGCATGAACTGTAAGCACCGATAAAAACAGCTCACTTCTTGTGGTGCTGATGTGGTTCAGCTTTTTTCGGACTGAAGGAGACGACTCAGTGGAATATGAGTGTTCTCTCTGTGACAGGATGAGCGGCTGATGGTGAGTCTGTTCTGTGCAAGTATGGCGTTGAAGATGGTTCATGTGAAACTTTTCAGAGATTATAAACCTGTACGTCATACGCATAGACCGTACAGAGGTACAGCTTTGTATTTTACCAAAGTTGCACTAAAACATGTTGGTAATATGGTAATACGGTATACCACAGTAAAATCCTGAGAAGGTTTAACAGTATCAAAATATAGATATTGCCCAACCCTACTCTACAGTGTATACAAAGAAGTGCTAGTTAATGGCATCTTCTGTAAAAGTAAAAAGGCAGGTTAACGGTCCAGTCAATCCCACAACTCAAGATAACTCACTCCAAGCTTTCTTCGTTCTGTTGAGGTCCATATAATTCCTTATAATCCCGATTAAAGTAGTCTTGGACTAATAAAACATATGGTTGACTAAAACATGACTGACTGTTTTATAGTCCTGTTTATTTATTGACTTATTTTATTTTTTTATTGTCATGTTTTGTCTCCTTTTTGGACAGTATGATTCATTCTTTAGTTGAAATTTTTGGTTAAATATTATTATTATTTACATGGTTAGACTTTAGACATAGACAAATATGTTGATCCACAGGAAAGCATAAAATAAAATGGAAAGAAGCAATATACTTTCTACTTAATTTTATTTTTACTTGTACATATACATTTATATAGTTATGCTTATTTGACACCTCTGTCTTTATATTTTTGCTGCTCATTTAGAATGTATTATTATTATACTTTTTCTCTTTGCTATTATAATATATTGTGATGAGTGAGCTACTGTGCCCAGGTCATTTCCCTTGTGGATCAATAAAGTCTAAGTCTATTCGCGTTCAGTATAATTTGTTGTGTTGATGTCTGTCTGGTTTAATGCAGATTGGTTTATCACAGAGACTATGAATAAAAAATTAAATTAAAAAAGACATCATTGATTAATTGGACGACAAGGACTACAGCCTGATAAAATACCCACCTGGAGCCGGAGAGGTGTTTTCAGGGACAGGAGATGAACCGAACCAGCGGGACATGAAGCTCCTTTTCTGAGGAGCGGCTGCAGCAGAGGCCTGGGAGTAAGGAAGTCCAAAAGATCATATTTTAGTGGAATAACGGTTGTGCGAAGAAATGAAAACAGTAACTGTATGGACAAGAAGGTAAGATAAACATTTCATCAATCTTTCTTAATGTAATGCGTTAAAGGTGCACTGTGTAACTTTTCTGGTAGAGAGAGAAGAGAAAGAGATTTAGAATACTAGTTTGTTGTTAGCAAAGACGTGATGGCAACATTCCACTCGACGTCTTGAAACTCGCTTAAAATCTCATAATAGTGAATGATTAGAATACTAGGAATATGTTAAGAAAGTGAGGACTAAGCTTGGGCAGCTGCAAACAGTTTTAAAATTAACTATTTAGATTTTATTCATATTTTTAATAGTGTTGTTCCGATAAAAAAAATGTTAAGATCCAATCCGATACTGATACTTGGCCTTAGTGTAATCCCTGATACCGATACCAGTCCGATACCACATAGTGTGAAGAAGAAGCAGACAAAGACTAATCAATTTTGTTACAGTTCAAGAGCAAAAAATAACTACGAAAAGCGGGGCTGGGTATCATTAAGAAGTTGCCTATATGATCCATAGGCCATGATGATACATATCTCAATACAGTGCACTTTCGATTCAATGCGATATATTTCAAATCGATTTGATACGGTTCAATAAAAAATAAAGGCTAAGGCTGTGATACTAAAAGTCATTGTTAAACTACTTGTTGTGCAAAGTTCATATTAAACATGCCTATTTTAATCAAATTTCCTTCCTCTAAACAAGCAACAAAAGTGCAGCGCTGTAATAAAATAATTTAGTAAAATATGCCAAAAATGGATACAGCAGCCCACAATATCAACTACTAATGTATCATCACATTAAACGACATGATATATTTTGATATTTTAGCACACCCCTACCGAAAAAGATATCACTAAAGAAAATGCACAAGAATGCTTATTGAAGGCTAAAGTATTAGTCATATATATGATGATTTAAGCATTTTTACTTTTCTGTCTTGTCACTTTCTACCAAAGAGAGGAACAACAGTGAGGCCTGTAAAAAAGACCCGCATCCTCGGAGGACGTGACTATGTAGATGTAAACAAAGTCTGTGTTAGTGCTGTTGTCAAACTGCACTTTCCTTAACGCAACCGAGTGTCCACACCAAAGGCTAAATCAAGTGTCTGAAGAGTGTGCAGAGCCTCCACAGTTGGTATTTAACCTGCACTGAGCCTTAGTGGTAGCATTAGACACAGACGTCAACAGCAGCTGCTCGTATATAGGTCCTCATTCAGGAAAATACAGAGAGGTATCAGATTGATGAATTGGTCTGAGTACGCGTCAATACCTGAAAAATGTGCAGTATTGGAGCTTGAAAAATGTCCAGGTATTGGCAAATACCAGTATCGGTATTGGAACAGCTGTAATTTTTTACACAAAAAATCCAGTACAGAATCTTTAAACAACTTTAGTAAAATGTCTGAGTCTAACCTGTGAGTGCTCTGGAGACTGGGCCTGCAGTTTGGCCTCCATGGAGGGAGAGGCTACTCCACTGACCACTGCCGCAGGTGCAGGGGGGGCCGGAGGGGCAGAGGCCGAGGGGGCCGGGACACTGGGGGACTGGGGAAGGGCCTGGGGGGGTAGAGGGGGCTGCTGGGGGGTGCTGGGGCTGGAGCTGCCAGTGGATGCGCCGCTGGGGGGCACAATAGGCGACTGGGAGCCCGAGGAGGGGGACTGCCCGTTGGCCGGACCGGGAGAGCCGTAGCCTTTACTGCGCGTCTCCAGGTTCTCAAGGAAACTGTGGAGAAGTGAAAAAGAAAGCGAATAATATAAAACTGACTGAATTAGAGTTCATGTGGTTTTAGTGTCTCACTTGACGGTCTAGTGTCTACCTCTTTTTCTACTAAATAAATAAATAAAATCTCTTAAAAGATGCATTGTGTAATCAAAAGCTTTTTTTTTATGGAGATGTTATTGCTTTGTCTGGAATGTTTCACAGTATAGCATTAAACATTCATATCTTCATGGAGATCAAACCAGACCAAGTCACAGGTCAGATCTGTGGGAAGGGGTTGCCCCACTCACAGTCAGAATGCCTGTTTTTCAAAGTATTTTTGAGCTATAAAAACCACCTGTAATTGAACAGGTTCCAGGCAGAGCTGTTACATATCCACAGAAAGTAGCAGAAGATGACCCCACAACCAAAAAGTTACATAGTACACCTTTAAACCTACTTCTATGGTGATCAGAAAGCATTACTTTTTTTATTCCATGCTATTTTTGTGTACAAATGGAATCAGATTAGGCAAACGGAAGGTGGCAGACAGTTCCTTCCTTACACTACAGTAGATAAAAAGTAGGCTTACCATCTCTATGTTTATGATACAAGTATGAATGTTTGCGAAATCTAAATAAATATACAGAATAGAAGAAAGCGCTTTACATTTCATAGTTTTGGTCTTCTGTCTCTTGTTGGACACCCAGTTCCTCCAGAGTGGCGTCCATGTCCAGCTGGTTTGTCTCAAGTTGTCTTAATAGCGTTTCTCTCTGCACATAAAACAGCTCATATCAATTAACTATAACTAAAACTATAAATTAACTAAAATGGGGGTGATCACAGAAGATTATTTACTAAATTGGAAAAGGAGAGCATGAGAATTATATTAAAAAAAACAAACCTGCAGTTGGAGAAAGGGGATATTGAAGAAGCGGTGCAGATATTTCAGACCAAATCCGTTTTTCATGGAGGATTCAGCGTAGTGGATGTAAGAGGCTCCCATGGGTCTGAGAAAATATAGGTGTTTTTATTTTACTTTTTTCATATTTCTTCTAATCTAGATATAAATAAATAACTCTGGGATATGCAGTGGGAAAATGTCACATTTTCAACTAAATAGGTAGATGAAAATGTGGTATTTGGTATGGTAAATGGCCACTATGAAATATGGCAGCTCTTCAGTTTTCAACAGAAAGGCAGTGAACCTGTTTCTATTATTAAAGTTCCTACATTAAACAAAATTGACTCTTGTGAGCTTTAAGCCATGTTGTAGTGTTGAGATTAAAGTGGTAAAATGTTTAATACATTTTGACTGTATTAACCTGTTCAATCCAGCTATGAGTTCCCTTATATCATCAGGCAGAATGACTCGGTGCTCTCCCATGTCTCTGTGGTTCCCCAGCACACACACGGGCACGTGGGTCGGGACTTTAGGCAGCTCCCTCATGATGTAGTTAAAAGTCCTGGAAAACAGACACCGAGTAGTGTTAAGATTATTAGTTTTTTTATTTTCATATTAGTGATATTCCATAGACAACATAAAGGAGAACTTTTATCTCTCTTGTACATAGACAATGTGTAAGAAAAAAGACACAGAAGAAGAGGTGCAAAGAAAGGTGCAGCCTGGGAGGAGAATAAAATCCCAAAGGAACTATATTAAAGCATCCACCATTCAGATAATAATAAATTGTAACCCATGCATAGATAAAAATAGGTACACAAAATACATACGTTTATTTTATTTAATACATTTATTTATTTAAAAAATAATAATAATAATAATAATTAAAGATTTCCTTAATGGTGCACTATGTCACTTTTCTGGTGGAGTGTCTGTCACCTGCTTGTGACTGTAATAGACTGTAATTTGACTGTAATAATAGCACAGATAAGAAACGTTATGCAAGATAAGAAAAGTTTAAGGCCATACAGTAAAACATATCAAGCAAAGAAATCATCTCCACGGTGAACCTTCCACTAGAAAAAGCTACATAGGGCACCTTGAAACTACTTATACCTATAATAATAACTTATTTGATGCTAAACGTTCTTTTTTATTTTGTGGGGAAATAAAAGGCCACCAGTAATTATTAGAAAAGTCTGTATCTATATTTACAGTGAGGAACTGTATCAAATTCCCATCACAAATTCAGTTACTGCTTGCACAGCATTCCACATTTAAGACATTTTCTAAACATTCCTTCACAGTTTCCAGCTATTTAGTATAAAAGAAATGATATGTGATATATAGTGAACATATGGATGATGTTGCTATAGAAACAGTGTAGCATGGTACATTATTGAATCTAGTCGCCTTGGTGTGAACTGGCAGCATTTCAAAAATGTCTCAGACTGGAATATGGCAAGTACATGCAGATCCAAAATCAGGAATTTGTGGTTAATATGGAGCCAAGGGGAAAAGGAAGAAAAGCACTGTGCATTAAGTGTTGCAGACCTGCACGATATATGGAAGATTTATAAGCAAAATAAGATTTAGAGGAGGTCGATATGGCAAAATTATGAATTACTGAAAACTGAAAAAAAAAAAAAAACAACTCTAAGCAGACTTTTTCTGAACTCCATAGTAAAAATAAGATTCTGTGGAAATGTTTTGTCATGGTGTAGGCCTGATTTAAAAGATACACTATGTAACTTTTTGGTTGTTTCTATGGATATGTCATTGCTTTGCCTGGAATGTTCCACAGTATGACATCAAACAGCTCTACCTTACATTTATCCAATTACAGGTGGTTTAATAGCTCAAAAACACGTATAAAACATTCTAACTGCGAGTGGGGTTGCCTCTCCACAGATCTGACACATAACTTGGTTCGGTCTCCACTAGATAGAATGGTTTAATACCATACTGTGAAACATTTCAGACAAAGCAATAACATAACCAAGGAAAGTTACACAATGTTCCTTTAAACATTGAAATTATAAATTAATCATTCATGCTTTAGTTGTATATGTCCATTTTGTTTACTAACATCAGTGAGTATTTTTGAGTATCTCTTGTATATGAAAAAATCACAGTGTTCTAGGGTCACCTTGTCCATACCGTATATGCATAATGGAGAAATGCATGCTGGGAAATTGAGTAGGTAACTGACACCATTGTAAACAAAACACAATTGATCACATATGCTTCTAACTAGTTTAAAGATGCACCGTGTACCTTTTTAGTTGGGAGTACGTCACCTGCCTGTCATTGCTCTGCCAGGAATGTTCCATAGTATGACTTTAAATAGTTTTACCTTACATTTATTCAATTACGGGTGGTTTAATAACTCAGAAATACTAAGAAAAACAGGCATTCTGACTGTGAGCAGGGTTTCCTCTCCACAGATCTGACCTGTAACTTGGTCCAGTTGGTCTCCACAAAGATAGAAATGTTTAATACCATACTGTGTAACATTCCAGATGAAGCAATAACATCTCCATGGAGAAAAGCATTTGATGGACCCTTCACCAGAGAAGTTACACAGTGCACCTTTAAACAACAATCTCAATAGCAGTAGTAGTGAGCCATTTTGGGGTCTAGACAAAGCACAAACACAGCCATACTTTAGTGTTGGCAGTCAGTGTATACAGACAGTGAAACCCAATCAGCCCATGCATATTGTAGTACACACAGAGACGCTGCAGTCACACGCTGGACACTTACCACTGTTTGGTGATATCGAACATCATGATCACGCCATTGCAGTTCTTATAAACATCCAAGAACTCTGCATCCAGGGCCACCTCATCAGACTGGAAACACACATGTCCATAACAATAACTATCAATCATACCTAACCAAAATTAAAACAGTTTATACCAGGTGGAAGATAGACTTTAAATATAAATATTGGGGGTGTAACGATATCCAAGTCTCACGATACAATATCAATATTAAACCTCACGGTACAATATTTATTGAGATATCGAGGGAAAGCTCATGATTAGGGATGTAACAATATCCAAATCTCTCTGTACGATGTTTTCACGATATACATCTCACAGTATATTTATTGTGATATTTTGTGGAGGTTAACAAAACTGTTAATATGCTACTTTTTCCTCTTAAAATACCTTGACAAGACTTAATCCAAAAAACAAAGACTTAAAAGTGCTTAGAACTGTTATTTCTTCATGTAGTCGCACTGAAATGGAGCAAAGGATCATGGTCTATGTAGTTCCCTCTGTCTTTTTTTTGGCTATTGTTGCACCATAACTCTTCATTTAAACTAAGAGACTTGTAATTTGATATATTGTGATGGTCCACGATATTATTGTGAGAACTTTAACGATACGATATCACGATATTTCGGTTATTGTTACATCCCTAATAAATATACATAGCTAACACACTAGTCGCCCCATTCCAAATAGGAAGTTGGCATGCGGGCTCTTCCGGTTCCTACTGCCTCCCATTGACTTACATTGGAATATTGCCGTCCTTCTCTCTGTACCTGCTGCAGTAAGCCGCACCATTTTGGTCTTAAAATGTACGCATTAACCTGCTCTACATGATCTTGATAGTTTTTTTTGTTTGTTTTTTTTCACACCATTTTATCTGTCAAAAAAAATCCTATTCAAACATAAAGCCTGGCTCCAAATTTGCTCCTGTTATTGCTAGCATCACGAGCTTCATTTGAGTAGTACTGAATGCTGTGGGTGACGTCACACTCGCTTAGTCCAATTTGTATACAGTCTTTGAAAATACTACATAATTAGGGGCGGTCCAAAAATATCGAAATACCAGTATATCGTATCGCTTAATGTAATGACACAGTATCGATATCGTGGGCTGCTGTATTGATATATCACCAAGAGTATTTTTTGGTATACTTCACAATTTTTTATTTTTTTTTACAGCACTACAGTTTCGTTGCTTGTTTAGAGGAAGGAAACTCGTTTATGCAACAAATTTGCCAGTCACTGTTCTGATGATTAAAACATGTGTTTCATATGAACTTTGCACAAGAAGTGGTTTAACAAAGACTTTTAGTATTACAGCCATGATCTAGCCATTATTTTTACTGAACCGTATCAAATCGTTTTGAAATACACTGTAACTGTATAGAGATATGTATCACATCATGGCCTATGTATCGAGGTATGCATCATATCGGCAACTTCTTAATAATACCCAGCCCTATAGATAATATTGGGCAGCAGACACAGGGATGTTGTCCCGGGTCCCAAGGTTTTAGGGGCCCTTCCTATTTTTTATTTTATATTTATATTTTTATTTTATATATTTATATTTTTAATGTATATTCCAGGGAGGCCCATGTGAGTCTTCTTACCCCAGGCCCCCAAATTTCTGTTGACGGGCCTGCAGATACATACATACAGTATGTGTTTAAGAGGATAAATTAGTCTTGAATTAAAGTGAGGAAGTAAAGTTGTAACATATTTGACAGTAATATGACAGTAATTTGACAGGGAGTTTAAATAAAGGATCTGCTGTTTATGATGATTTTTAGAACAATGGGACCTATGATGCCACAGTCCTACTCTCAATGTCCCATTTGGCGACACTGAGATATTTTCTATTCATGAGTTTCAGCTACCCATTTGGAGGCACTATTTTCAAGACTTTTTGAAAATTAAAAGCCTGATATTACAGGTCTGAAATAATCCATATAATTCTAGTGAAGGTGTATGGCGTGGAGAACTTTTTTTTTTTTTGAGACATGAACATTATAACATAGATCAGAAAATCACACAATATAGGTCCTTTAAAAAAAAAAAGATTGTTTCAAATTGTTAACTGCTATGGCTGCAAGATTAACCACCACTGAATCGAAATTGCTATTTAAAAACTGTAAATGCTATAGTTTTTGAAATACAATAACCTTCCTCCAAAAGCAATAAACTATGGAAACACTGGTACAGCAGTTTAAATAATGTGCAGGAGGTGTGACTTTTGTGTGTGTGTGGGTCTTTTCATTCTGGACTACGAATCTGTAATAAAATATGGGATATCCTGTCTCTTTCTGTATAAACTCTGCTTACCCTGTGATTTAGATCTGATCTGTACGGACATGTTCTGAAATGCGATTGTTGTATTAGTTTATTTCTATAGTTTTAAAAATTGAACTTTTAAGAATACAATAACAAACTGCAACTCCTAATTCTGGTCAGAAAAATCACATTTGGATACGACCTCTTGTATATGTGTGATATGCTGTATTTTTATATTACTACATTTCTGTTTACTTTACTTGTACATAAACATTTATATAAGTATGTCTTATCTGACACCTGTCTCTTGCCATTTTTTATTGCTACGTATATAGAAGTTGTTGTTTTTTTTACTCTCTGTTATTATAATATAATGTGATGTGTGAGCTACTGTGTCCAAGTAATTTCCCATGTGGATCAATAAAGTCTGTCTTGGTCTAAGTCTAGGTCTAACTCAAGGGTATAAGTAGAGGGTATAAGTCGAGGTCCTCTCCTAATTTTTCAGCCCTACATATGGCAAAGGTAGCAATACTTTCTGAATTTGTTTTCATACAGTTATACACTAAAATTAAAACAGTACTGATATAAAAACAATGCTTATTTGACATTATTAACCTCATGCCCTTTCAACCCATCTCCACCCCTGCCCACACCCCACATTGTTTCTATACAAGAGTCTGTCTGTGATCACATGACCATCACATGCTAATCACCTCCTGCGGCTCATTCTCCAGTTTCAAGTTGTCTCCACGCTTTTTTCCTTTTCCTGAAACAACAAAAGCACAGTTGATAATCAGTACCATTGTTTAACCCATTCTTCACATAGTTCACTTCAGTAGATGTTACGTAGTGTTTGAGTGAAGCAGGCACAGCATCAGAGCAGCTTTTCTTATGGAAAAGCCCAACGCAGCAGTTTGAACACATTTTGTTAAGTGCTGCTGTCATTAACTAATGTAAGGCAGGGGGCAGGCACTCAAGGCTTTGGCAAGATCAGTGATTCTCAAATATTGTAAACTGATCTAGAATGTTTGCATTTTTAAAATTAAATACTACTTTTGTTCATTTATGGACCAAAACTAAACTAAATTAAACTAGGCAAAACCAAGACTAAAGGAGTATAATCCTGGGTTAAAAAGCTACACCAATTCAGACTTATGAATAGAAATGTAAAGGTGCACTTTGTAAATTTTCTGTGTGTCTCCATAGAGACTTTGTAGCTTTGCCAAGTTTAATAGCATGACATTAAGCCATTGACTGTATACATCATTAAACACATATCAAACCAGGCCAAGTTACATGTCAGAACAGTGCGGAGGCGATCCCACTCATAGCAAGAATGGATGTTTTTCAGCCATTTCGAAATACCAGTACTTGAATTACTGCAAGATAGATACGCCATGCTGTGGAACATCTTAGCAAAGCATAAGCAGATCATCTCTATGGAGACAAGCAGGTGACTGACACCCATCAGAGAAGTTATTTTGTACACGTTTAACTATAATAATATAGATATATATAACATAATTTTGTGATTTTGCAGAATTCAAGGACTGACAGATATTTTGGGCTGTTCAACTTGTGAAATTACAAAACTAAGACAAAAACAGTCCATCAGTAACTTAAAGATGTACTATGTAACTTTTATGATGGAGGTCTTCCATCTGCTCATCTCTATAGAGATGTATTGCTTTGCCTGGAATGTTCCACAGCATTACATTAAATTATTATCTTGCATTTATTCAACCGCCAGTTTTTATTGCTCAAAAATAGCAAGAAAAGCTCAAAACAACATGGATATCAATCCACGGAGACCAGCATAAAAACACTCAGTAAACCTTTAAACAGCAAAAATAATTATATAAGTAAGTAAAATAACATACAGTACAGAGAACCACAGATCTAGATGCCATCAAGCCAGCCTTAACTCCTCTAATATGCCACGCAGCAGCTCACTGGGCAGAGCCAAAACCGTGGGAATATTGACATTCAGATAACAGTGTTAAAGGCAAACCCACACAGCACACAAACTGTTTTAAAGAAAGCTACTACACACTATGGCGATTCTCACCTTCAGGAAGAGGGTATTTTTGGCCTAATATGAGCGTAAAAACAAGTACAAAAAGACAATGAGGACAGATACAATGGAACCATGCTGTTTGATTGTATAAATGAGAGCGGCAGGCTTGTCAGGACAGAACAAGATGTGTTGCTAAAAATAAACGTTGCTAATTCGAGTACGCCTCACTCACCTTTGTCGACAACGTCCCACACCTCGACTTTGACCACATCATCAGTAGCTAAGAGGTACAGAAAAACAATTAGCAATTTTTGGTCAAAACATTACATTTTAATTAAGAGTTGTTTCATGAAATACTTCTGGATAACTTGCAAAGAGGAGATTATTTTCAGTATATGCACAGTTTCTCAAAGGAGAGGGAGTAGGGATGGTATATCGGTTATCAAAGTATTTCCCCAGATAGCAGTATTGGTCTGATATAGATTTAGCCGATATTTGGCCGCAATATTTTTTCCTGCTCTGTGGTGTCCTCAGTGAATGAAAATTGTCTTTTTGAATAGACAGACAAGTGAAATATGAATTTATATCCCAGATAAATACTTTTTATTATGATTTTTAGAAAATACATAATTTTTTGTTAATTAGTTACTAGATACACATACAATACAATACAAGACCAAATACGAATTTGGGTCCATGAGAACGAAACAAGACAAGATTTTAACATAATTCCTAATATATACTGTACATTTCACGATTCAGTTTCCAAGTTTGGCCTCACAATTTTTCTATATTTGATTTCATATTTTTGTGTCCATTCTAGTATTGCTTTTCAGAACTGTAAAGGATGTAACTCACCAACGCGTAACCTTTTTTCCTTAACCCTTTTTCATCCAATCCAAATAAAAACACTTCGGAAAAAAAACTCACGAGATTATTGTCTTCATGTGTGCACGTCTTGTGACAATTTTGTCTGTGAAATCTTGTCCCATCCCTATTAGTTATTTTATATTAAAGGTTGTATGGAGGATTTTTTTTTGTTTCAAGTTGTCAATGATAGCATTATAGAGATGCAGTAGCCTTGTAATTATGATGACCAAAAAAAAGAGAATAAAAATTCATCAACGCTGGACATGGTGGGGCTAAACATTTGCCAATAGATAACGACACTGCCTCGTTATCTGTGAGCTGACAGGCTGTCAATCAATCTCCCTACGTTTCTAGCGTAACTGACTTGCCTGCGCGCTGCCGGTACGTGGTTTACGTACGACTGTCACGCAGTCCACAGACGCTGTTTACTCCACCAACGCAACAGTTCTTAGCGGCTTTTTTTTACCTATATCTTCCTCGCAGTTAGCACAAAGTTTGTTGCAATGGCAGACAAGAATCCAGGAGCAGTTAGCCACAAAAGAAAGTCTGTTTTTGAGGTCGCTGAAAGAAGAAGACAGGGGAAAAGCAGCGAAGCCAAACTAAGGTGATTCTTGAAGATTCATTCCAGCGATGGCGCAACTGAAGCAGACGCAGGGTCTAAAGACTGACACATTGGTCGCCAAATTACTCCTGGACAGGTCACTTCTGCTTATTATGAAAACGTACTTTATTTCCAAGAGCTAGTCAAACGTTTTTCAGGACACGAAAGCGATATCCTATGTCTGAAAACGTAATTTTCAAGGCAAAGAAAGAGTCCGCTTGCTGCTGCGTGTTGTAGCTAGTTCATTCGCACTGAATCTCCGCGCAACCTTCTCTGCACCCCTTTCCTGCTCCTGTCCCCGCTGCCCGATCCGCTCTTCCCCCTGCTCCTCACTTCTCCGGGCACGGAATCTTCACGCACCGCTCCCCTCTCCTCTCCCTGCTCCGCTCTTCTCCCTACTCCTCACTTCTCGTCCGCGCACGAAATGTCCGTGCAACCGCTCCCCCCGCTCCTCACTTCTCCGCCTTGCCTAACCAACACTGTAGTTAGTTGTCTACAAGTCATGTGCAGCGCACCGGCTGTAAACAAACCTGTTTCTGGCGTAAGGAGGAGGCGGGAGGAGGCGTTTCTACATAGGGAGCTGTAGGGGAGGGGGGGGTGGTTTCACGCATGCGCAACATTTGAAAAAGGACAAACAGTCGCTGGATTTCTCGTTCCTTGGAAAATCCTCTATACAACCTTTAACATCTAGTCTTCTATCTGTGGCATGCTCCATAGTGGTCCAAAGGCATAGACCAGTCTTTGTGAGTATGAATGAGTATCTAGTTTCGATACTAGTTTTAGAATCGATTACCATCTTTGATACTTTTGACAACCCTTATCTCTATCAAATATAATTAATTATTAGATGCATTTTAGTTGCATTTCCCATGTGCATATTCCCCTGAAACTGGTGTTTAATTGTTGGTGTTGTTCAATCACATATTTTTAAACTTTCAAACAGTTTCCACTTATGCAAATTTAACCTGTGCAAATACCAACCTGTTTCTTTTAGAAACTAGTCATTATCCAAAAGCATTTCACACAATAGAACATATTTAATTAAGTACATTATTAAAGCTGTATGTGATAAGATGGACAAAGCGGCTATGGAGGCTGGGAAGTCTGGAAAATTATGAAGCCAGAAAAAAATCCACATTTGAACACTTATGGTTGTTTGAAGGTTAGTTGTACTGATAGCATTTTATAGCTTCAGGTGCTAAAATGCTCATCTTCACAAGTATTAGTAGCATGAAATCTTAGCACGAGCTTCCCAGTCAGCCACATGGTCCATTCACTTCTACCATCTACTTTTATTACTATAATTCATAGGTTTCTTCTGTATTGGAGACCTATACTATTAGTAATCACAGGGTTAACTAAGTCTAAATAAGCCTTTACCTTGATACGGGGCCACTGGAATGAACAGTACAAATGACATGCTTACCAAAACAGAAGTTAACGGTTGTATTGGTGTACATGGTTTTCGTTCTGAAATGCTTGCTTGGTTGACACTTACTTTTATAATTCCAATGTATACTGGTGGCTTGGATCTCCTGTGTGGGAATGTACTCCTCCACAAACTTCTTCCCTTGTAGTCGATGCCATAAAGTACTTTTGCCAGTGTTTCTGTCGCCTCGAATGACAATTTTCACTTTGAGAAAGAAAGAAAAAAAAATAGCTTAATGATAAAATAGATTCATTAAAATATTTAATTAAAGGTGCATTGTGTAACTTTTCTGGTTCTGTTCAATTACAGTAGTTTTAGAGCTCAAAAATGCCTAGAAAAACAGGCATTCTAACTGTAAGTTAGAATTTACTTAGTTAGAAATTACTTGGTTTGGTTTGGTCTCCAAGAAGATAGAAAGGTTTAATACCATACTGTGAAACATTCCAGATAAAGTAAGAACATTTCCACAGTGAAAAGCATGTAACAGATCCTCCACCAGAACAGTTTCTCAATCCACCTTTAAAATGTGCTGTATATACTCTGGTGGAGGTCCAAAGCACCTGCTCGTCTCTATATTGACATTTTATTGCTTTGCCTGGTGTGTTGTTTGGTATGGGATTGAAGGATCTATCACCATGGAAACAACTAGGCTAGATGACGCCCTAAGGCAATATATAGGTCAGGTCTGTGGAGAGATGACCCCGCTCAAAGCATAAATTTATGTTTCTGAGTAGCAAAAACACCCATAACTGACCAAATGTCTGTTAGATAGGTTTAAAGCCATAGTGTGGAACTTTCAAAGCAAAGCAATAACATCTCCACGTCTCCACCAAAAATTTCACAGAACTATTGCGTTTCTTTAGTTGTATCGTAAGAGGTTTGTGGTTTGAAATCTGCTGCTGCTTCTGATTCCATACTGATGTTGTGTCATTGGGCAAGGCACTTAACTAAGTTGTATGAATCTTATGTGATTTTGAGCCAAAAGAAAAGCATAAATATAAACTCTTGATCTATTGCCATTAATGGTGCCTTATGTAATTCTTTGGTTGAGTCGCCTGCTTGTTTCAATGGAGATGTCATTGCTCTGTGTAAAATGTTCCATATGACATTAAAAAGCTCTACCTTACATTTATTCAATTACAAGTGGTTTTATAGCTCAAAAATACCTAGAAAAACAGGCATTCTGACCGTAAGCAGGATCACCTCTCCACAGATCTAACCTGTAACCTGGTCTGGTTTGGTCTCCATGAAGATAGAAAGGTTTAATACCATATTTTGGAACCTTCCAAACAAAGCCATAACATTACCATGGAGAAAAGCATTTGAAGGACCAGAAAGGTTATCAGAAAAGTTACACATATCCTTACCACTAAACCATATAAGCTATTAGAAAATATACTTTTGGTAAATAAAAAAAAAATATATATATATATAATGGTATGCAAATGACTTACTATTATATTGCACTCCTTTTGCAAATCGTCTTTGCAAACTTTGGTTCATGGATTGAAGACCTGCTGGAATATTCTTGTCCCTGAGCTGCCCGGGCTCCGACCCCACCAGCTTCTTTAATGCCGAAAACATCTTCACAAATGTTCACTTCAAATATCCAAAAGAAGAGTGGAAATCCCTTGGTAATTTGTCAAACGAAACGTAAAAAAGTGCAGTCCAGTATCCAGATTGTAGTACAGTTTAGGAGTGCATGGTGTCCAAACACAAATGTCTAAAAGTTGGATTTCAGCAGCACTTATAGAAGGTTAGAGTCTGGAAAATCAGGAGTGGATATAACAACCATCATGTTTTTCGGGAGTATCTGCCAAGAAAAAAAAAAGGATAAAACTGCTAAAAATACACACATTAAATGCATTTGTGACAACTGAAAATTCAATTCAGTACATAAACAGGAAGAAGTTTCCTCAAAAATGTGATCAAAATGAAATCATAGAAGTTACTTACAAAATGAAAGCATAGATGTTATACATGATGTTGGTGAAAGAAAATTATGTTTAAAATTTCAGAAAAAAAATATACATATATATATATATATATATATATATATATATATATATATATATATATATATATATATATATATATATATATATATATATATATATATATATATATATATATATATATATATATATATATATATATATGTGTTTAAAATTTCTGCCAGAAAAGAAAAATAAGTACAGAAAAAACATTAATTCATTCAAACATTAGATATATATTTTTAAATTGTTGTTTCATAAAATATATGTGGGTAATTTGCAAACAAAAGGTAATTTTTGGTAAATGCGCAGTATAGCAAAGGAGAGAGAGTTGGAGGATTTCCTAGGTTATCAATATTGAAAATTTAGCCAATTTTGCGAGTTGTCTTTACCAACAATAAATCAGACTACAGAGTTCAAGTATAAAGTTATACAGGATGTAGGTTAACGCATAAAGTTATTCAGATAGACCATTGTACCTTAAAAGAATAAATAAAAACTAAAATAATTACAGTTCAATATTTCCACTTCATTAAATATGATTGATGATGAACTTGCCGATTGGAATTTCCCTTGGGATGTGTAGTCTTTATCAGTCAATTTGAACTAATTGAGAATGAGGAGAGACTTTGTAGCCATTTTTGCTTTGTACAACACCACTTACACACACTATTTCATTAACAAATGAGCTGGTCCTATGAGCTGGAAAATCAAAACACAAGCACGATCCTACAGTATATTTACAGTTCTAATCAAATGTATAGTAGCAAAAATGGGTTATTATTCACTATTAAAAACAGCAGAATATACGATTTCAAGATTTGAAATTTAGCCTAGAAAACAGCACTGGAATGATCAATGTGATTGTATTCATTTTCACAAATATCAAGCTAGCATCTCTTAGCTTCCCATGTTTGTGTCAATTTAATAACACGATTTTAATAATATAATTCGATTTCAGTACGACCTTTGCTTCTCAGCCCTGGTCTAAGTAATTGGATGCTGTGAACAGTAATGAGGCAGCCCGGATTGTTACCTATCCTGCCTGAAGGTAACGCTATCCTTTGACAGGAGGAGGCTAGTTAGCTTAGCCTAGCTCTATTCCTAGTCTACGTATGATGGCATTAGAACAGCGGCTAGCCAGGGGCGACTGTCCACAGAGAGATCGACTTTAGATACTCACGGTACTTTAATAAGATCGGGCATTGGAGTCGTGACATGTCCCCCTCAGGTCGTCCGTCAGCCCTCCATCTCCACAGACGAATAGCAGCGACATTCCTTTGCAATGAAAGCAGCAGCAGCAGCAGCAGCAGAGCGAAGCTCGCACAGCCTCACCGGATCCGCCGTGAAGAGACACGTGAGGAGCGGCACGGATCCGGTCAGCTCCTCCAAAATAAAAGTACTTTGCAAAACTTAAAACTTGGCTTAGGTTTTTTTCTTTTCTGTCTTTTATTTGACATGTGTTACATGTGTTACTAGTGAATTTTGGTGATTTGTTATTAACAGTCTAAATGGGTCCAAGAGTATTTCACAGCCAGCGGCCTGGGCAGTGGGTGCACTTTTCCTTTATTTTTATTCTATTGATTTTTATGAACTGCACTGATTGCACTTTTTCTGTATTGTATTGATTTTTGGTGTGTTTATGCACATATGCACTTCCTGCCCAAGAAAATGTCCTTGTGAGGCAATAAAGTTTAACTGAACTTAACACTACTTATTTAGAAAAACAAAACAGAAAAACACTTTATTATTTTCCATGTAAAAATCCTTCTGGATCAGTAGCTTATTATAAAATATAAATGGATGACTGTGAGTTTTACAGGGCAGACAGAAAACATCAAGGCACTCATTTAGATTCAAGTGCAGTACATGTGGGGCACAAAATCAAAAGTGGTTAAATTGTACCACTGGACGATCAAGATTTTAAATCCAGATAACGGCCTGTCTGCAAACATTTTATATTAAGTTCTTTTTTCCACCCCTGAAGACTGGGGCCTAGAAAGCCTGTGTGGATTCTTGCCATAGACTGTGCTTCTTCTGAAATGACATGTCAATGAACTCCAAATGGCTTTGTAGTAATGCAGTATATTTGGTAAAAATGCATGTCTTGGTGAATGCATTGGTTGTATGAGCGCTTCTTAGACATTGAAGCAAAGGATAATTATTTGTGAATTATGTTTAATATAGCATGCATTTAATTCCACAATCCCCATTACATGCACTATGGGCACTGTCTTTCTATGTTTTATTTACAATCTATGGCACCACTTCCTGTTACGTGTCTTGTGTAAATGCTCTGAACTTGGCGCACTTGTGCTCAGGTCCATCCAATGAAGCGCAGCTGCTTCCTCATGCCCACTGCTCACTCTCCACCCAGCGGCAGACGTAGGTAACTACAACTCTCCTCCTCCGCGGCTCCCCCGTCTGCACATGGACGCATCATCTGCACAAATGTAAAATGTATCTTTGAGCGACATCTCTTTTACCTTGAACCCAAAGCCCACCAGGAGAAATGGATACAAGCTGCTGACACGGCTCGGTCAGGCTCCTATGAGTTGAAGTGTCCACACCCCGCCGTACCCCGATATTGTTGTAGGGGGGATAATGGCCGCGCAAGAGCCCTCTCCACCATCTTCCCTGGAAGGCAACAAGCCGGGATTCCCGAAGAAAATCTTAGCAAACAACCACGAGGATAAGCATTTGTGCAATTCGTGTCAGAAGATCCTGCGGAGGCCCCTGCAAGCTCAGTGCGGACACCGTTTCTGCTCCTACTGCTTCAACAAGATAGTGAGGTGAGCTGTGCGCGCTGTTGCTATCGAGAAGCTAGCCCTCACTTCACCATTCATCATCATTATTTTCAGGTTTAGAGCTTAATGGCACTGGGGATGCAACAGATGAATTGGGAATTAGGGTTTATTGTGCAGGGGGTGGATGGCACGTTAGCTGCAGAAGCGATCCACCAATAGGATTATGGTGTTGGTGAGATTATGGGGGTCTATTCACCTACAAACATCTGGTAACAAATACAGTAAAATATTTGAGTTGTGGATGAAGCAATGTGCGCAAAAATCACCGTTTCTGTGCAACAAATGCCTTTTAAAGTCAATCGTAGCATCAGGTTTTGCCCTGTCTTGGATGCAGCAAAGTTCCAGCATGTTCTAACAGTAGCATCAATGTGGGATGCTCCAGGATGGTTTTTTCCTAGAAAGTATGCCTACGTAATTTTTTTTTATATTCTGTGGGATTATCTATTAAGAGTAGGGAAATTGTAATAGTAATAAATAATATTACATAGGTTTCTTTATTTAGTACCCTGCAGTCCCCCGTTACTCCTGACAGCCTGTCCATATGCACTGGTGGTTTATTACACTTACTTAGCCTTAATAAAGCATGAACAAAGGCTTAATTAACAAATAGTTGCTTAAGAATGATGCCGGCCTATTCCCATTAACTAGCCTAATTAGATTCATGTTTACTTAATTCATACATTAATAAACATTTGTGCAAATTAAGGTGTTAGTTAAGTAAGTTACCAAACCCAGATCATTCTTATTTCAGGTAATGTTAAAAGCATTGTGTAACTTTTCTGGTGGAGGTTCGGTCTCCTGCCTGTTTCTATGGATTTGTCATTGCTCTGCTTTGAATGTTCCACAATATGGCATTAAACAGCTCTACCTTACATTTATTACATCACAGGTAGTTTTAAGGTTCAAAAATACCTAGAAAAACAGGCATATTCTGAGTATGAGTGAGGTCGCCCCTCCGCAGATCTGACCTGTAACTTGGTCTGGTTTGGTGTCCGTGAAGATAGAAAGGTTTAATGCCATACTGTGACACATTCTAGACAAAGGAATAACATTGCCATGGAGAAAAGCATTTGACTGACTTTCTGCCAGAAAAGTTACACAATGTACCTTTTAAAGTGAAAAATCCCACAAACTACAAATGCATTTCAACTTATTTGTAGTAGGACGTGTCATTCACTTTAGTAAACAAATATAGTACAAATACAGAGAGATATTTACTTGTAGGTAAATGTGGTGATTTTAACAGTGCACTGATGGTAGCATATTTCTCTCTTAGTTCTGGTCCACAGAAGTGTAATGCTTGTATCAAAGAGGACCTGTTTGAGGAACCCACTTCTATTCTCAAGCAAGGAGGTGTAAGTACTTCTACTATATTTACTTTCTTGAGTTTGCTCATTTCCTTTTGACATCTACTAGCGATTACGTGGCTTCTTTCATAGGGGATTTCACAATATGCAAATATAACTAAACCAAGTGCAGATAAACTACAAAAGTCCGTCTGCATCACAGTAAAATATCTGTACCTTAATACGGATGTAGGGTAGGACAGATGCTACATTTGGTCATTGATTAAGTGTATTAACAATGTAAATTTTTGGAAAAAGAAGACAAAATGAATTTTCTAAATATATTAACAATGTGTTTTTTTACTCTGCTCTGAAGAAGGCACCAGCATTTTTGGAAACTTGAGATACAGTTGATTTAATTCAGGATTTAATCCTATATGATTTGATGTGCAAGTAGCATCTGCTTTTGTAATAAAAAAAGAGGTTTATCTTTTTTGTCAATGTAGTAAAATATGTTAGTGAAAATTAACTTCCTGGAGAAAATTATCAAATAATAAGCTTATTTTGTAGGCTCTATATACAACAAAAGCTTATTATTTGATAATTTTCTCCAGGAAGTGCTGCCTGTCAGGTCAGACTCCGGGTGGATTCAGGCTTTAGTAACCACAGTGCGACAGAGACAGGAGGAGACAGAGGAACAGTAAAATGACTCTGAAATATGAGCATCCGATTGAAACTTCAGTCGCTGATGTGCTGTTTGTGTTGTGATGCTTTCAGGCGTTTCCAGACAACGCGGCGCGCAGAGAGGTTGAGGCTCTGGCTGCAGTCTGCCCCAATGAAGGCTGCACCTGGACTGGCACCATCAAGGAGTTTGAGGTGAACACTCCAAGCACACAGATATAGATAGTGTTTAGAAAATATAAACAATTATTTTTACAAAGTTGTTTATATGGTAAAAATGTCAACAAAAGTCAAGAGTTTTTTTCAGGATTTGTGTTAGTGGTAAAAGATGGTAAAATTTCCACTTTGATTTTGATACTAAGAAAAAGTGTCATTACCACAATGATTATTTAATAAATAAAAAAATGATATATTATAATATGACTTTTTGACACAATAGATTTAGTTAAATTAAAATTAAAATAAGCATGTCTTAAGTTACTACTCTGTCATCAAAATAAAATGAAAAAAACCTTAAAGATCCCGTATTACTCAAAATTGACTCCTGTGAGCTTTAAGCCATGTTATAATGTTGTTACCTTCTCAAAAACATGCCTGGAGTTGTGTTTTTGTTTCATTCATAAACATTTGCAGTCTACATCTCCAAACCTCTAAATGCTCTGTTCCACCTTGTGATGTCATGAAGCTGTAGTTATCAAGTTAACAGTTACATTTTGCTACATGTTCAGTAGAGATGGGCAATTCCAGGGTTGAAATTATCCAAATTATTCTAATGAAGGTGTATGTAGTTTAAAAAACAGTGGAACACCTGTATTACCACATGACATCATAAGGTGGTACAGAGTTTTCAGATGAGAGAAGAGCCTAAATATGCAGTTTTGTGTGTTAAACATGTGTGAATAAAACAACAATCCAGGTATGATTTTTTATGAGAAAACAACATTTTAAGTTTAACAGAGATTAAACCAAGACCAAATAATGCTAAGGACTTAATTAGAAAATCATGACGAAAAATTGTGTTTTTGTGGTAGTGGTATTTGCGTCATCCAGTATTGCTTAACTAATATTTTGCAATCTGTCGTACATCCCTAGAGCCTCACTTGGTCTCAGTGAGGGTCTAGACGCATAATTCTCTTGTTATCTACTCCCCTGACCTTGATCTTGTTTTTCTGGAGAAATGTCCTGTCCTACTTTGATGTTACACCCTGCTTTGTCTGTGAATATAAAATGATCTCCAATTACAATTCTGTCTTTCTAGTTTATGAGAGCACACTGAAAAGTTCACATACAGGACATTACTGTATTTACTGTACTGCTATAAAACCATCCCAAATGCAGTGCAATGTAATAGACCCTTTAAAATGTGTAAACAAAAACATTCAAAAATCTGAAAGGGAGGCTACTTGAGGCAAACCTAAATGGAACATTATGTGATTTCAATGGGGAGACCATGATTAACTTCAGAATATAGCAAAATATGAAAAATACAAAGGGACTTTGGCAAATGAAAACCTCTTGAATAGATGTGAGAACCCTGTTTAAAAATATTTAAACATGATTTCTTTG